TGGGCAGCCATAATGACGCACTTTATGACGCACTCACCTTTCATGTTGAATAGCATGGCGTGCGCATGCCGACGCGACCAGCACTCATTGCAACCTGGAAAGTCACACCTGAATGAGCACTCATTCGCATAACAATGTGGAAAGTCAAGGCTTGGCTGGCAACTTATGGAAAATCAATAATTCTGTTATTTTATTAGCTAATTTACTAGATACAAAAACTGCAGGGCATACATTGCCCATAAAATTGCAATCATTTGCCGTGAGAGACTTTTGAAAGCGGCCCTCTGCCGGCCAATATCCCAACAAGCCATATCATATGATAACGTAATGCGTTATGGGTTTATTAATTTAGTAGGGAGCCCCTAGTAGCACATGTTTCTTATGTGGGTGTAAAAACATTTCCTAATGTTAACCTTAGGCAGATTAAGGCCTATGCTATAATAAGTGATTAATCTAGGGAATGGGTGCAATAAGGTACACATGTACTAATATGTTTTCATGGTTTGAGGTCAATTTATCAATAAACTTTTTTTTTTAACTGATTCGGGGCGCAGTTAACACCTAAAATAATTGACAGCCTTACGGCCGGGTGGGTTGGGGGTTTTTGTTTCTATAAATAAAAAGTTGTGTCTCAAGTTTTACATAAAAAGGCATGTTTTAAAATTACAACTGTTTAATTTGAGGTAATGCAACATATTATCAAGCTGTTTGTGATATAACAGCAATTGAAACTTTAAAAAATTATACAAACTACGCAGAAATTGCATGTTTTATTCACGAAGGACTTTGCATTTATCAAAATTGCTACTTTAATAAAGGTGGCATGTTATGGCCACCGTAGTTTTCAGCGTTTGGCATGGTACGTCATCATACATTCCCAACTTCCTTGTGACCTCTGAATGGGTGCGATGTTAGTTTGGTTTGTGCGAAACAAACCAGGTGAGCTCGGGCATCGAAGATCATTGATAAACACGTTGATGCATTACTGAAAAGAAATGTAATGTGAAAGGTATCAATATGCATAAGTTGTCCAACAGTTCAGCAGAAACTCTTATGTGCGTCATTATACCTTCCTCGAGGATACTATAGTCTGATAGTCGGACTCTCTATTATCGCGGCATCCATATTATCATGGCATGGGAAATTTCTCTTTTTGCGTTGCCAAAACTCCTTCAAGTGGCGATTTGTATCCAGTTCACCTGGCATTAAGGACTTTCTGCCGAGTTGTATAAAAAGGACGATTAAAAAATGTTGTGTCTTTCGGGACTCTTAACGAATTTTAATAAATATTAATGTTTTCCAAAACTTGCAAATTTTCCCTCACCGTGTCTGCTAAAAGGTACCGTCTATATTTTAACATAAATCTTTAATGGTGCTCTGTCCATGAAAGTTCCATTGTCTGGTTCCCATTCTACAGCTTCTACGGGATCAAAAAAAGGACAGCGTGAAACAAAATAAAACGGTACACTGTGTAAAGTGAATAGCGCCCCCAATCACCAATCAGTAGACTTGTCTCAGTGATTTTTGTTCTCCTTTCGGGGGAGGGGCAGGGTCTTAAGAAATCATCCTGCAGGCATATAGTCTTTAATCAATTTGAATGTAACAGGGAAAATATCAGACTTTATTCAGGGGATGTTTTGGTCAAACATTAACTATGAAAAAAAAGTTGAGATCATTATAAAAAACCACTTCCTGCATACCGCGATAATAAGGAATCCACCTCTGTTCGCACACTCCAAGCATGTCTACTTTCACAGGCATCGTACACGGAATAAACCACACCACCATCGGATTTGTTTATATCAATTTGAAAAGGAAGAGTTATACTACACAAAAGACAGGACAATTCGGGAAGGTTAATGGGCAATCTGTATTCCAAACGAGAAACCTGATAAGTACCGCGATAATACGGAGTCCCGTCCTACATGTATATACACTGGTACATATAAAAAATGCCAAACTAGAGATTCGCCTTTGTTGTTACAAACGCAGAGTGGTCGGGTAGACAAGTATTTTACGAAACACTGTCCAGTTAAATTATGAATACATTGTATTTTTGTGTAAGAACAAAGGATAACACAATTAAATCCTTTCCAGGACAATCAATTGTTTTGTTTAAAAAATGCATCTTTAACGGTGTGATAAATTTCAGTAAACATTCTATGTACATATACAACTTATTTTTGGCTTGATAACGTCATTAGTCAAAAACGGGAAGTGAATACTGATTTAGTTCGGAGTGGATGTTCATTGTGAAGTTAAATAACGTATGAAAATTTAGAAAAATATAAGTGTATGTATTCATAACACCGAACTTCCGGTTTGATGACGTCACAGTATTTGGAAGCAAAAGGTGAACATTATAATGGTATCGTTATTTGGGCTAAGATATACGACATGGATCCAATGATAGAATTAAAATATGATCGTTCGCAAATTCTCATAGAAGTAACTTCCGGTCTGATGACGTCATGAATTTGAAACCGGGCTAAGTTATATGTGGTTAATCAAAGAATATCAAGGGGCGATTTGGTAAAATTTGAACCTATGGTTTTAACCCTCCAACGCAGAAAGCCCATTTAGTAACACACTTACAGTAAGGGGTCCCCCGGGGACCCAAATATTTAGCGCCACGGTTTGAGGCTACACAACACTGTATCCACATGAACACAATCTTGCCATGTCTGTAGACTAAGGAGGTGTATTTGTAACTTTCAACATATATCGGCCCTCATCCCTAGTGGTGCATATTACTCTGACATCATGATGATGTCATCGGGTGTCAAATTACAAGCAATTTTTGTTTAAAAAATGACGATATTCTTTCACCTATAACTCTTGAACAAAATGATCAATTATTTTCCAACCTTGTAATCAGATAGACCATTAATTGATAAACATTTTTTGTCCCGTACGTTAACTCGCTTGACCTTTACTTCCGGGTCTACCGGAAGGTCAATTTGTGTCCATTCAAAATGAAGACTTTAGCATGAAATCAAAACAAAACAACATTTCTTCCGAACGGTTTACGGTGTGATCGTAAAACTTAGTGTGAACTTGTACCATGTATAAACGAAGATGTTATAAATTTTGTTACGTCATCATGACGTTTCAGGTATCAAATAACAAGCGATCTAAGGGCAAATTTCGACAAAATAGTTTGCGCTATATCTTTTTAACTAAATAGAGAATCGTGTTCGTTTTTTTCGTGACGTTGTAGACTATGCCGTGAGAAATATTTCGTGTTCCCATACACAAAACCGCTTGACCTTTACTTCCGGTGTAACCGAAAGTGCAATAAAAACCGAATATAACTCAAAGGCGGAAGCTTTTTACTACACACATACAATGCTCTAGTCCACACATGCACTCTGTACACTTTGGGGCTCCCCCTATTGAATTAACCGTACTGTGAGCACATCAATACCAGTACCCCCTCTAAGCTCTAGTCCCGCATGCGCTCTGTACATTTTTGGGGTCCCCTTATTGAATACTTCAGCCCTATATTTTATCATTGGGTTCAATTACAGTCCCAGTAACTAGGAAGTTGTCCTGGAGGCCACCATCTTGAATTCAAGATGGCGGTCTCCAGGACAACGAGGATCATGAGGATTAGTTTCCCAATTGAAGGTGAAATTTCTCTTTTCTTTCCTAAGGTACAGGTATGTGAACCTAACAACCACCATTTGTATTTTCAATTTCCAGTTAAGCCTACAGGGGCGCATAAGGCAGTTTGAGGACTGTTTAGGGGGTTCAATCTGAAGATTTCAATTGGGGGTATGATGAAAAAGATTGGAAATTTGATTAATGGTACTTGGGATAGTGATATGATGCTAGGACTCTACTATCGCCCGACCATGTCCAAATGTTAAAAAAGGCGATTCATAGAGTCCTAGTTACTCAAACTAGGGTTCAATAGCGCTGAAGTGAATTGTCAACATGGTAATCCTCATCTTTTACTTTAGGACCCCGTTCCTATAAGGTTATTAAGACTCACATCACCAAAACAACTGACTAAATGACTCTCAAAAGTGATATTCTGATATTTCTTGACACATCTGAACAGTTGGTAATGACACCTTATTGAATATCAGCCGGTTTAATTTTGTGAAAAGACGGTAGGGCTTTGATTTATGAGGGAAATTAAGGGGTAATAATTTTCTGAATGACGCCGAAGAAAACCAGAAAACAGACTTAAAAACCAAGATGGCAAACGTAAAAGCTAGATGCAATGAAAGCTCGATGCTGATTGGCTGATAAAACAAAAGATTTTATGTATTTTGTATAAAGTCACATTTTCTTTGAAAGTGCTTTCACAATTACAACAAACATGAGTTTATCTGTAGAAAAAAGACGGCAAAAGTCACTTTGGTACTGGACAGTCATCTGCAAAAGTCAGTTTTGAACAGAACTCGTAAAAAGTGGAGGAGTCCTAAAGATCAGGATTACCGTCAACATGGACTAGTATGTCTAAAAATTGAATTCGAAAATGTGCCATTTTGCCCCCGTAACACACTAATTCCCCTTGGGACTTAACCAAACCTTGTCCGGCATAACCACTATGTAGGTCCTTGAAAAAAATAACGATCCATGATGAAGATTCAGCCTACAATTGCAGTGAAAAAGGAGGCATTACTGACAGCTGATCAAGTTACATGTATGTTCGCTGGACAGGGATCACGTTTGGGTTTTGTGTACAAACAAAATTTGTGTACAGAGGAGTGGCAATGAGCAGTCGATTACCATGCACAGCGTTGCGCACCAGTCAGACTTGCCAACTGGGCGCTGAAGTGCACACCTGACGAATGCTTGTAGGCCAACTTTGGTTGCCGCTCTACCGCAGCTGTGATGCCAGTGCAAGTGACACAGGCCTCATAGTTAGTGCAGCAGTGGTACATCAAATTGGACCTGACAGCACAATTTTAAATTTATGTAGGTGTGGCTTGTCACATCTAGATTAACCAATATACATGTGTGGACTGATTTAATACCCATATTCTCCATAACAGGTCAAGATTGTATAGGTTGTGCCAAGACCGGAAGTGGTAAAACAGCTGCCTTTGCTCTTCCCATTCTCCAGAAACTAAGTGAGGATCCTAACGGCATCTTCTGTCTTGTTGTAACACCAACAAGGTACGAACACCTAAAGTTATTCAGCCTTGTGTAATATTATTGTGTTCCTATGGGTACCTGTACCTTATTCTACTTGGTTACTTTTTTTGGATGCCGTTAATTTTTTCCAGCTCCCTGCTGTGTTTTAGTCTGAGTATCACCCGTTATCCACGGAGCCCAGTCTCCGTATAACGTCTGATATATCTAAGCATGCAGATTTATGGGATCTCGCACCTCGGCCAATCGGAGTCGACTTTACTAAATCGTGAAGTCATTTCATTCTCAAATCAGGACTAAATGTTTGATTGCTAAGTTTGAATGCAGTGTTTTGTAATGTAACATGCATACAACACAACCAGGACAGGTTTTGCTTTCCTGTAAATCCCCAAATTGGAGTTAACCATCTTTATTAACACACTAACTCTTCAATCTTCAAAATTTCAATAATACATGTGATAAACAATGAATAAAATGAGCGCTCAATAATAACAGATGTACATGAACATGTACACAAGTACCAAGATTTAGGGTTTTCGTACTGACTCTTTTTAGTCGGACTCTTTTCCTGCAACTGGTCAGGAACAAGAGTTCCTCAAAAGAATAATAATTCATGGGGTCACCAGTCTCAGAACTGTGATCCAGGGGGCAAACTGTACATCCACCCCTTGAACAGAGTCCAATCAACGAGTTGGGGTCCACAACTGGTCCAAATCAACAGCTTGAATGCGGCAAGCGACAGGCTGTTGACCAATTAGCAGGCTTGCAACTCGAGACGAGCTGAGATCCAGTCAACAGGCTTGGATCCAGATGACAGGCTGGTAATGAACCAGTATTCAATCAGTAGGCTGGAAACCCACCAACGAGATGAGATCTAGTCCACAGACTTGGACCCAAATGTTAGGGTTAGGTTTATCCATCGAAAAAAGGAAGAAAAACATTCAAAGGAATCATAGAAAAAAAATTGGATTGAAAGAGTGTTCACAATTTGAGTAAAATGACTTTTTGGGGGTTGGTCCCGAAGTGGTCCCGATTGCGTGTTAGAGGTTGCTGGCGGTGCTACCTGTGATATCAGCATGCAATGCTGATGGATATGTGGAGAAGGAGGTAGGTCGTTGGGAAATGGGGGCTTGCAAAGGGATGGTGTTCCTGGTGTGGAAGTTGTTGTAGCCGATAGCGGGACTGGCTCCAGCCCTTGGTCTAACTCGGGGCGGCAGCAAGCCTGTGCTGAGAGTGAGGGGGCAATGCCTGGCCAGTGGCCGGGCATCCCGCAGCTGAAACGTGTCAGGATTTGACAAGCCTGAAAAACATATAATACAAAACAAAAGCAAGCAAAAGAAAAGCCAGGACAGAAGCTAAAAAAACGAAATGGCCAAAAACGCACAAATTAGCAGAATCTTGAATAAGCAACCAATTAAGGAAGAGAACATGGAAACTGCAAGGGGTGGGGATGGGTGGGTGGGAAACGGCAATTTAACGTCAAAATAACTCTTGAATTTATCTTAAGATCTTTAAACAGATCTTCAGTCTTAAACGAAGTGGATTGATCTTCTCGAGACAGTGAACAGCATACACGAAGCACTCAGCGCAAGGTGTAGAATCTGAACTGTCATTTGTCGCTCAGAAAACGCTTTTATAGAAGCACACGTCAGTGGGTTCAGTGAATGGGTAAGGACACACCCAAGTCTCATGACTACGACACGGGAAGTATTGAATTGTGATCTGATCACCCAACCGAATCAAACTAAATATATACCAATTAGTGGGTTATTGGTATGTGTTGCGCAGTTCTTGAAATATTGCATGGCCTTTATGTAAAAAGATTTCATGCGTAAATAAATAAAAGAACAAACAACATACATTGTAGCTAGGCCGTTTATTGGATTGTTCATCGAAGATTATTCAAAAGCATGTGGTAACTGCTCTAATTGCAAATTACTCGAGCGTCAATGTTGTGTAGACCCTTATGACGTTCTTTGTTAACTTGTTAACATTTTTTTTTTGTTTTTTTTGTTTTTTGGCTGAACATTTATTTCAACGTTGTTATGTCACTAGAAATATTAAATCGTTATGTTAACATTTAAGCATACAAAATATAATACGAAGTAATTTTACACAACACCGTTAACATGCTTAACTACAGGATTCTATTTGTGCAGGTGGAAAATAATATAGCCGTACAAAATCAATGATATCTCTGGTTGCATTGATGGATTTCTTGATATTTTCACCAATTATTAACAAGACCATAGGCTTTAAAATAATATAAAATTTGATTAGCTATTCTGACTAGCTTTTGTGAAAATCTGTGATTTCTTCATGCACAATGTTTTGTGGGACACCCTGTGTACATGCACCGGAACATGTGTGTTCCATTTTAGTTAGGTTAACTGTTTAGTGCTGTGTCGTATTAAAAGTCAGACTTCAATCTCTACCAAACTTAGTGACAACAATCTTTTGGTAGGGGAACTTCAGATGACTTGAGGCCTTTGAGGTCAAAGGTCATCTGGGGGTCAAATGAGATCATTTTCTATTTTGGTTTAATAGTTCAACTGTTTAATGATTTGATATGAAAAGTCAGACTTCAATCTCAACCAAACTTGGTGACAATAATCTTTGGGTAGGGGGGACTTCAGATGACTTGAGACAGTTGAGGTCAAAGGTCATCTTGGGGTCAAATGAGTTCATTGTTGATTTTGGTTCTACTGAAATGTGTGCTTACTAACTGTATTTTTTTGTGGTGTGGTAGGTATTGCCTTGGGCAATATTTTGGATTCCCAAGCACAAACGCATTTGACCTTCACTTCCATTGTTACTGGAAGTGCAATGAAAATTGAATATAACTTGAATATGGAACATTTTACTACTGTGACACTCGGAAAGTGAGGCCGAATAAAGTAGGAGGAGAACGGCGTCTGCAATTTTCTGAGATTTTATTCTGTAACAGAAGAGATGAGGACAAACGTAAGTGAACTCGTCTCTGACAAAGTAGATTGTCAATAGCATTTAAATTATTTAACATCAATACAAACATATTTAGAAACATAGACAATGATCACGTCAATAAATATAAAATGGCGGACAACATCTTCGACATTTGTCTCAAAGGAATAAATTAAATATATAAAGGAAATGCTTTGACATCCTCCCTCAATCACTTTATCAAAGCTAGCATATGTTCTAAAGGAAATAATATAATTAAGTCTAAGCTTCACTTGTGTACAGAAATAAGACATTTGGGGCAAAATCCATTTCCCGCCAAAACTAATGCACCGGCCGCCATATTGCGGACGCACTAACTTCATGAAAAATAACACTTAAATCACACATTATTAACAAAATACAGAAAACAGGAAAGGAATATAACTTCTGCGTCCTTTTCATTTACCATTTTGTGGAAAAAAGTTAAAGATTGAAAAGGAATTTGGCCTAATCAAGGTACATCGGCACTTTGTCAAAATTTATACAAAGGTTTTAAGGCATAAAACAGAACTTTCTCAAATAGTCAGGTGGCATATGGTCGGAATCGTGACCGACTGGTCCAAAGCACCAAACTTGGCAGATAGATTCTTATAGCCCTAGAGAAGATATTTAAAAGGGGTGACACCTGAAATTCTTTTGGGAAGGGTGCCTAATTTGCATAAATCGTTAATCCCTGCCGTGTAATATATTTATTCCCATATTTGGGTATATTTCTATTTTTTTTATTTTTTTGAAAAGTGTATTTTGGTGATTCTACTTGCATATTCTTACCTCAATAACATTTTGTAAAACATATAAGTGACTGAATAATTAGGAGGACATAGTAAAGAACCAAAATTGCTACTATTTTACCCTAAAGTTACGCGCATTTACCTTTTCTTCAGATATAATCAACTAGTCTCGCCAAACGTGAGTATTGATGAGCTTCAAATTGATGAGCTTCACAAAGTTACTTACTGGCATAGTTACCCTAACAAAAATAAGTGGGAAATCAAGTGAAAATTGATAACATCTTAATGTTTAGCCCAAAAGACCAAAAAAGGGGAGAAAATGTGATGTCCGTAAATTGGGCTAGTACGGGAAGGGTAACGTGGGGACTTGAACAAGTTCAACGAAATCCCCCTAAAAAAGAGATTATTGTTGTTTACAATCATTTTGTCTACGCCAAAACGTTTTCTCAACCATAATTTTGGGAATTTCCTTGAACTTGTTACAGTGTTCCTTGTTAGGGAACCCTTCACCTACTTGTTAGCCCAATTTATGGACACCTCGTTTTTCCCAGTTTTTGTTTTCTGGGCTAAATATCACAATGTTATCATTGTTCACATGATTTTGCATAAGGTTTTAATATGGTAACTGTACCAGTAAGCTACTTGGTGAATTTGAAGTTCATCAATGCTGATGTTTGGCAAGACTAATTGATGATATCTGGAGACAAGGTAAATGCGCGCAATTTTAGGGCATAATAGTAGCCATTTTGGATCGTTACTATGTCCTCATAATTATTCAGTCACTTATATGCTTTGGAAAATGTTATTTAAGTAAGGATATGTAAGTAGAATCCCCAAAATACACTTTTCAAAAAATAAAAAAATAAAAATATACCCAAATATGGGAATATATATATTACACGACAGGGATTAACGATTTATGCAAATTAGGCACCCTTCCCAAAAGAATTTCAGGTGTCACCCCTTCTAAATATCTTCTCTAGGTCTGTAAGAATCTATCTGCCAAGTTTGGTGCTTTGGACCAGTCGGTCACGATCTTGACGAAAATTAGATCTAAGCCACCTGACTAAAAAGCCTAATGTCAAACTTAAACATTGACGAAATATAGAAGTAAAGTGAATTAACAAGAATATTAAAGTGGCTTTTAAAATAATACTTAAGGAAATGAACAAAGTATTTTTACCTGTAACAGAAGAGATGAGGACAAACGTAAGTGAACTCGTCTCTGACGAAGTGGATTGTGAATAGGTCGTCACCGCTGGTGGCGACAAACAATAAAATAGTTCGGCGGATGGATAGTGGTGCATTAAAAGGAGAGAAATTAGTTCCTTCTTTATAAATAAGAAAATCAAAAATAATGGGGGGTATTCTTTTTTCTACCCGTGACACTACAATCAATCAGATTATGGAAATGCTAAGTGAGGGTTGCCATCATCAGCATGTGTCATAATCTGGAGGACACCCTCTAGCGGAAAGTCCAAGACAGTGTAACTTTTCTTCATTTTAAAAACCATTTGTGAATTTTTTTACCACATTGCCCATAAATAGTTTTTGGAAAAATGCAAATCCCGTTGCGAGGTCTAAGGATCATGACATCATCAGACTGGAAGTTATTTTATTGACAATTCGAAAATAATGATCAGTTTTCAGTAAGAGGTTCTGATGAAAAAAATAATGTCTTCATGTTGTGTGAGGAGTTAATAATGTAGTTGTGCATTTTTTTTACATGTCATTGTCATTGAGAATTTGGAGACAATACTTTGGAAAAGAATGCCATGTAAGGTGTCTCTAAAGCCGTGTCCGCACTGGACTTTTTTTTTGGAAGGTTTTACCGAGACGATGGTAAAATGAGAAATGGTCAAATGTGACACTGTCCGCACTTGGACTTTCGACACGGGAAAATTTACCCAGACTGCGTGGGAGAAGTAACCGAGCTGTCACAGTGTCAGTATAATGACTCACCGTACACAGAAAACAAATTGCCGATCACATTTTCAGCCGCCGATACGCACAGTAATATTACACACGCCATTTGCATGCACAACATAATCGTTTACACGATATTATTTCATCTTGACACGCTAAATCTTGACGAAAAGGCCTATAATTCTGACGCATTTGTGATGCACGTCGTCGAAGCCATGCCGCTGTACGATGTTCCGTGCGGCAGCAGTGCCATCAGTATTCGTTGGTTCCCATCGCATGCTTACAGAATCGAAGCTATGATGTGGGCCAGGAACCAGTGACTACGGCCTACGTACGGTACCGGACCATGATGTTCCGTGCATGACTACAGTAGCGTATCAGGACGAATTTGGATCGTAGAAAATAACATACATCGGTGGAGAAAGAGATTTTCCGCAAATTAATTCTCAGAACGTGATCTCTCTTCTCTGTGTATGTATTTGTCCGTTGAAATATATATTTTACCGAGATTTTACCGCTCGGACTTGATGATACACCGCAGCGTGTTTCTACAAAATGTTCGGCCACTGCACGTGCAGGTTCGTGCGGTCTCTGTATGCATAACAGGGCGCTCGGGCCGGATGTACGCTTTCCTGAGCCGCTTTTACCGACTCGCACTGTCCGCACTGGACTTATCGTCTCGGGAAAAGTGACCTGGTCAGTTTTCCTGGGCGCGTGGAAAGTTTTCCTGGGCAGCAGTTGGCCAGTAAAAGTAACCGCTGGACTCAGGAAAAGTAACCGAGAGGAAAACGTCCTAGGCTGTCCGCACTGGACTTAAAATGGGAAAAGTACCCATAGTCTCGGTTAGTTTGACCAAAAAAAGTCCAGTGCGGACAGGGCTTAAGCTTTTAATACCAATGTTGAAGTGGGAATCTTTCTCATATAAGTTCTTATATTTTCTTTGAATATTTAGAAGGTACTACATTGTACATGTAACTTTCCATGCGTTTACAAGATTTCCTACTCTCTTGAATTTGTGGGGGGCAATTGTTTATGTACGTGTATGTAGAACTTTGTATTTGAAAACTAAATGTAGCTCTGAAAAGTCTCAATGACGTAACCCAATAGCACTTTGAACCCCTTTCCTTGCAATGTTTTTTAATCAATTGGATCTAGACCATATTTAGTGACACATTTGTCTCTCTTCAATTTGTTTCATTTTGTTGATTATGTCACTGAATTTCTGAAGCTTGGCTAAAAATGATAATCTGGGATTGATCACTCTAATAATTATAGGTGAAGGTATAGGTTGCAAAATTTCTTGTTTGTGTAAGTTAAGCCAAACAAAACAAAACAAATTAGATGGTCTCTGGTCAGACCAAAGTTCCGGAATAGATGGGGCGATGCGTTTTGTTTTTCAAGCTTGGATTGTACAGACAAAGTGGGTACTATTTTGCTTTGTTTGTGCCTCCAGACAGTCACTTATTTGTTCTGTGAGGGGGATAACTTGGAAAAACCAGTTGGGGATGATCCGACCATTGCACACAGTCACCTTTGATCCAGCTTGCTTGGACTCTAGAAAAAAATCTCTCGCCACTGAACAGAGTTTCATCGCACACAGATTCGTGTACAATATACCGAGTCGTCACTGTCACATGACACAATACCGAACGGTCTAAGAGTTTTCACTCAACACAAACAACGGACGTGGAAATAAGTGGCATACCCGGTATTTCATGTATTTAGCCATGCTATTCACAATCACAATTGCCCACATCACATGTCATCATGTCAAAAACGTTGTGTCATGTGTGTAGGCCCAGTTGACTAGCCGCCATTGTTGTTGATCAGCTGGCAGCAACCTCGCACGCATGGTCTACTATCATTCGTTCAACATCAACCTTGATCGAACCGGATCTATCACACCCTGGGTACAAAGTCGACCTGCCAACGAAAATTTGACGAGGTGCAACAATAGAGTGCGTTGTATTGCGGAAAATTTGAAAAAAATGAGAGGTTGACGCGCATGATCAAAACCGACACGCACGCTGACCAGAGACCGAATATTCTTTTTTTTGGCCTATTCACACAAAACTGGATTTCCAACTCATTTCAGAAAATAAATTTGTTTCATTTTAGATCGTTCTCTTTTTTTCCTTTAGGGAGTTGGCATTCCAGATAGGTGACCAGTTCCGTGTCTTTGGAAAGCCAATTGGAGTTCGAGATTCTGTGATAGTTGGCGGGTTTGGTATGTTGATAAAGTGACATTATTAGGGTCCGCAATTGAAAAAAGGTCCATGATTGAGATTCATAACCAATGAGAGCTGTTGTTAAAAAGTTAAAGTAAAAACAAAAGAAAGACAATGGGGATCCACGATTACAGGTGTATACACACTTGTATGGGTTGGTGTAATGTGTGCGATTTCAATGGGCCCGAGGATCTGGGCAATAGTCCTCGGGAGAATTTTGTGTACAAACCGTATGGGAGCTGTCGAGGAAAAGTTACAAGTACAAACAAAAGGGAACAAAAGAATGAAAGGGGCAGGTCCTCATCTACATGCATGTAGTAAAAACAAGCTTTGTGGGTGTGTACATGTATGTGTGTACATGTATGGCTTTACGATAGAGGACAGACACACAAATGGTCCTTGTGCGTTGCGTGGAAAATGATCCTCGATCGTACGATTATGTGATTAGTCTATGGGAGAGTGTTATATTAGAGGGACAATGGGAAACACAAGGCATTGTCTTCGGGCGTATAGAAATTCGCAACTGCGTGTTCCATTTTGGTTTGGTTAACTGTTTAGTGCTGTCATATAAACAGTCAGACTTCAATCTCGACCAAACTTGGTGACAATAATCTATGGGTAGGAGGACTTCAGATGACGTGAGACTTTTGAGGTCAAAGGTCATCTAGGGGTCAAATGAGGTCATTGGTGATTTTGGTTAGATCAACTGAAAAGTGCTGTCATGAAAAGTCTGACTTTACCTCAACAAAACTTGGTGACAATAATCTTTGGGTGGGGTAACTTCAGATGACTTCAGATGTTTCAGGTCAAAGGTCATCTAGGAGTCAAATGAGGTCATTGTTGATTTTGGTTAGGTAAACTGAAAAGTGTGCTTACTTAAACTGACTGTATAAATACTGCCAGCATGCCGGGGATTGCAATACTTGCAGTATTGTTTTTTGGGGTTATAATCAAGTGTCATCTTTTTGGTCTTTAACTTTTACACAGGCATAATCGATGTATCGAATATTCTTGATATTTGATTTCTGATATGTCGATTATTAGACATTTTGATATCGACAGTGCTTAGACCTCCCTTATGTTTTGTACACATACTGGTACCTCAAAAGTTGACCTTCAGTCAATTGTGGACAGGGTTGGCAGATTTAAATCCCGTATTGTGATTTAAATCAAAGGATGTCTTTTTTTTTTAAATCACTGAGTCTACTTGATGATCCTACTAAAATGATCCTCAATTAATTATTTTGCTAAAAATAAGACTTTTACTCACAAATGATTTAAAATCCCCCCCCCACAGAAGTGTGGGACGAGTCTACAAGTGATACTTACCCAAATAGCTACTACATATGCATATTTATTCAGCTGACAGGCTCAAACGCTAAAAGATTTAATCAACCACCGAGCGCCCTCTCGGGGCCTACCAATTATGCCACGTCATGAATCCGTCATTATGCTTCCTCTTTTTTTCTAGCGACGGCATCGTGCAGAAGCAAAAAAATTTTGCTCTCGCCTTTTGACAAGTTTTTGTACGATTTTCGCTTTAAGAGTTTCTGTTTTATAGAATTTATCAACCAAGTGAGTTGTGTAGAATACTGTAGAGTTTGGTTTGAGTTAAGTAGTTCTCATTTGGAGTGATTTTGGAGTCATTTTGCTTTCGTTTTTCTTTCACGTGGCGTAGCAGGCTTTCATCCTTTGTTTGAAACCGCGTGCGGTGGGCCAGGTCGGCACCGTGGGACTAGCCCAGTGCCGGGTAGGCATCGTGGGTTCTCCCTTTGGGATCGAGTGCAATCCCCTTTTAGCCAAGTCGGCTTTCCTGAGTTATTATTATTATTTTCTGTTGTACAGTTATTTAATAATAATATTTCTTTGAAAAAAAAAAAAAAAAGCAGTGCATTTAGTTTATGACTCCATAAACGGACGAATCCGTAAAGACCTTTAGGGGAGACAGTGCGTCGTATATCCCCGGAGAGAAGTGCGGTTATTCTCCACAAGGTCTGCTAGTCGCCCCACACGTGGGGCCCCTGTTCCGGAAGTCAGACTTTCGGCCGTTCAGGGGACTAGCGAAACGTTTCGAAGAATATAGCGGTTTCGGCCGTTCCCTGTTCTCCGTTCGTTTCCCCTAAGCTCGCGGTGAGCTAGGGCCTAGCGAGAAGAGTACAGTGGGGGTATATCGACAGAGGTCATTCCCTTCCCCCCTGACGGTCTCAGCTAGCTCGGGGAGCTAGTAAGCTAGAAGAGGACGTTTCGTTGGGTATATCGACAGAGGTCGTTCCCTTCCCTCGGCCGCCTCGCCGGGCGTGTAAAGAGAAATTCCGTGGGGTACAACTACCAGCGGTCGTTCCCTTCCCCTCGGCCGTTCTGAACTGCATTTATCTCAGTAGTATAATAGTATGAAAAGACGAGATAGCAGTGAGTCCCCACGCAGGGACATCGCCGTAGTCTGTAACGGTCATCCCGTGTTACGCGTTTTGACCGACATCAAACATACGGTATGGAACACCGTGAGGATACCGGGGATAAAGCTCCCCGTGTAACCATGGCCCCCCAGGCGACCAGCGGTAAGGGTCCCGCGGTTAAAAAGGCCGCATCAAAGGCCACCGGCGGTCCCAAGGGTAAGACCCAAAAAGGGACCAATAGTCGCTCGATCGCGCCGCCGGTCTCCGGACCATCGGCGACACCTAGCAACCCGGCGTCGATTTCCCGTGGTTTCACGGGAATTTCTTCGCCTCGTCCCCCCGGTCTGCTGGCTCCAGCAATCCTCGGGGACGACCAGTCATGGAGCGGTAAAAGGATTCAATCCTCACCGGCCCCATCTGCGCGTTCATCGCTTGAAACCATTCAAGCCTTTTCGCCAACAGACGGCCAAGGCATCAGCTGGTGCAATGGTTTCAGCTCCACGCCCCTACTCTGCCCCTGCACGCCAATTTAGTGGCCGGGGACGTGGCGGTGGGCAATCGGCCCCCCGCTCTGGGTGGCGGCGGTGACGCCCCTACCGAGCCGACCCCGACACTGGGGCCCGTTGGGGGTCGTCTCAGAAATTTCGTAGGGCCCTGGAGAGAGATCACCTCCGACGCATGGGTGCTTTCTATAGTCAGCCACGGCTATCAACTAGAATTTACAAGCACCCCTCCGTCGGAAATATGTGTTCGCGAAACACCGGTTCCGGCAAACACGACAAACGATTAGCTCTCGAACAAGAGATCTCATCCCTCATCGAGAAGAGAGCGGTCCGCTTGGTGCCACCAATGGAGCAGTTCACAGGCTTCCTGTTCTCCTTCTTTCTAACACCAAAGAAGGCGTCTGGCAAATGGTGGCCGATAATCAATCTGAAACCGCTCAACAAGTTTGTCAGACCCAAACGTTTCCGAATGGAAACTCTCCATGTAGTTCTAGAGTCATTACCCACACCAGCGTGGGGAGCGTCATTAGACCTAAAAGACGCGTACCTACACGTCCCCATCTTCCAAGAGCACTCCCGATTCCTTTGTTTTCGGTATCAGGGGCGCACTTACGAGTTCACTGCCTTTCCCTTTGGGCTATCAACCTCGCCAAGAGTGTTCACCAGGGTTGTGCGGGCAGTTGCATCACGTCTCCGACGAGAAAACATAATGAGTTTTATGTATCTCGACGACTGGCTGATAGTGGGAAAATCAGAAGGCCAGACTGCTCAGAATTTGAGGGATACTTATACGTTGACAACGAGGCTAGGCTTCATCATCAACGAAAAGAAGTCCCACCTAATCCCGTCCCAGGAAATCACTTTCCTGGGAGCAGAGATTGATTTACGCAGGGGCATAGCCGTCCCCACAGGGGAACGTGTTACCAGCCTGCGGAAGTGCGTCAAACTTTTCCTATCCGTTCAAGTCGCTCCAGCCCGAGCTTGGCTGAAACTTGTAGGGTTCATGGCCAGCTTAATGGACCTGGTTCAATGGTGCAGACTGAGGATGCGTCCTTTGCAAATGCATCTTCTGGCACATTACAGACCAAAGACAGATCCAATCTCTCTATTGGTCTCGATTGACGATGTCATTCGGCCACACCTTCGGTGGTGGCTAATGGAACAGAACATTCGGTGCGGACGGAGCTTCCCCAGAGGGGATCCTCACGCCATAATCTCCACCGACGCCTCCAACGAGGGCTGGGGAGCCTCCCTTCCCCCTCGACAAGCTGCAGGCACTTGGGACGACAACACTCGATCCCTACATATCAATGTTCTAGAACTCCAGGCTGTAGTCAATGCCCTACACCACTTTCAAGCAGACGTAGTGGGTCGGTCTGTTCTAATCAAGACCGACAACACGACAGTGGTAGCATATATCAACAAACAGGGCGGTACAAGATCACCCCAGCTGTGCTACCGGACTTGGGAAATGTTTCATTGGCTAATCAGACAGTCGATCTACGTGCCATTCACATTCCTGGTGCGGAAAACGACATAGCGGACTCTCTCTCCAGGGGCAAAGTAGTTCCCACGGAGTAATCATTGAACAGGAGGATCATACATCAGATCTTCTCGATCCTAGGCCGTCCACACATAGACCTGTTCGCCTCAGCGCTCAACACTCAGCTCCCGGTGTTCTGCTCGAGAGCCCATCATCCTCATGCATGGGCCTCGGACGCACTATCAATAGACTGGACAAACATGTTCGCTTACGCCTTCCCCCCGATCTCAATCCTTACAAAGGTCATCGGAAAACTGGAGAGAGACAGGTGCAAGATCCTGCTGATTTTGGCCGCGTCAGCCCTGGTTTCCGCGACTGGTGAGGCTCCTAGTGGGCTCCCCTCTAATCCTCCCAGATCGTCACGACCTACTCGTTCAACCTCAGTCCCGGTTCCAACACCCATCTCCGGGAGATCTCCACTTTGCGTGCTGGCCACTGTCAAGCGCGCCTACCGAGCAGCAGGTCTTTCTGAAGACGCTGCAGCTCTGGCCGCAAAGGGACGTCGTCTCTCGACACGACGAATCTATGACAGTCGACTACGACATTATAGTAGGTGGTGCGCAGAACAGGCTGTGGATCCGCTCTGTGCTTCTTTAAGCCATTGTTCAGAATTCCTACTGTCATTGTTAAGAGCCAATTTGTCAGTAGGAACGATAGCAGCAGTTCACAAAGGCTTCGCTGATGGCTCATCTATCTCCTCTAATGTTGCAATCACTAACCTACTTCGGGGAATGTTCAACAAGAGACCTACAATCCGGAAACTGGTCCCATCCTGGGATCTAGGTCAGGTCCTGAACATTTTGGCCAAGGCTCCATACGAGCCTTTGGGCCAAGCACCCCTCATTCATGTATCTATAAAGTTGGCCTTCCTGCTCCCAGCGGCTACCGCTAGGCGGAGCAGCGAGATCCATGCGCTGACTTTAGATTCGGGACATATCCGCTGGGAACCAGGTGGGGTTCGCCTGATCCCGAAGGCGTCCTTCCTGACGAAAAATCAGACGGCAAGTTTCAGCCCTCCTGATATTTTCCTCCCGAAAATAGAGTCGACCTCCTCTATCCCCTCAGACAAATTATGGTGCCTGGTGCGCGCCCTAAAATGGTATCTGGCATGCACTAAGTCACTCAGGGATAAATGCATGCAGCTCTTTATTACAACCATAAAGCCACATGGCCCCGCCTCAAGGGACACCATTTCGCGTTGGGTAGTAGCTGCTATCAAATTCGCTAATGCGTACTGGCCATCCAAAAGGGATGCTTCTGTCCAAGGCCTTGTCCGAGCCCATGACGTACGCGCTGTAGCGGCGTCCTGGGCATTTTTTAGGGGGGTCCCTATTTCAGAGATTTCTCAAGCAGCATGCTGGAAGTCTGCCACGACATTCACATCCTGCTACCTACGTGACGTACTCCAGACTGGAGGGAACACGGGGAAGACGGTACTGACACAACACCAGTCCTCGTCTACGAACCCTACCCTGCGAAGTAGTCCTTCCCGGCCTGACCAGGAGACTAACTAAGCAGGTAATACATTTCCATGTATATTCAATCTAAATGGTCTAAATCATTATGTATATATATATATATATACTGTTATTTAACCATTTGATTTCAGGGCGTCTCGACTACCCAGCCACCGGTTGTCGGTGCCACTCTATGCATGTGTAGTAGCTATTTGGGTAAGTGAATGAAGTAGACTCTCCCCCCCCCCCCCCCCACAGAAGTGTGGGACGAGTCTACGAGTGATACTTACCCAAATAGCTTCCCGCCCTCCTCCCCACTCTCGGCTCGCGTTACGATGGTTTTTCACCTTTAGTGCGCGAGAAAAAAGAGGAAGTATAATGGCGGATTCATGACGTAGCATGATGGGTAGGCCCCGAGAGGGCGCTCGTTGGTTGATTAAATCTTTTAGCGTTTGAGCCTGTCGGCTGAATAAATATGCATATGTAGTAGCTATTTGGGTAAGTATCACTCGTAGACTCGTCCCACACTTCTGTGGGGGGGGGGGGATTTTAATGGAAAAGGGTAGTCTTTACATAATATTGGGGGGTAAATCCCCCCCCCCCCCTGTTTAAGCCTATGCGCTTTTCGGTTGGTTTAGTTATTTTGTAATTAACAAAATTTCCTGTGTACTTAATCGAGTTCGTTGTCTGGAAAGGGTTTCGAAAATAGCCAATACTTTAGGTGTCTACCCAGCTATCCCTGCTTTCTCTTCTTTTTTTTAAGAAATGGTGAAAACAAACTGCCAGTTCATTCACTAATTTGATGACTTTGTTTACACTCGTAAAAGTTGTTTAGTGTTAACCAGTTGGTAAAGAAGAGTGGAATGCGTGTTGTGTTTGTTTTTATTTTATTCAATTTATTTTATATATTTTCTAAATTAATTTTTTTACTTTTTTTGTATTTATATATTTTTAACTCGGACTCGGATGAGATACTCGGACTCGGACTCGGCGCTTTGGTCTCGGACTTGTCACGGTGTACTTGGACTCCGCCGTGGACTCGGCCCCTAAAGTACTCGGAGAACTGGGTACTCGGCTTTGAGGACTCGACTCCAATACTGGCAAGCTCCTGTCCTTGTGTAGCGAATGTGCAGAAACGTGAACGGAAAAATGTCTGAAAATCCCTGTTGCTATGGACTGCGAAGCTACTATTAGGCTCACTTGACTGTGAAGATCTCAATGCTTGTGTGTACAGATCCCATCCTCATCGCCAGTTAAATATTTGTGGGTTTAGGAACAAAGAATGAGGCCATTCAAGAAGTTAGTGAACGGGTACTACTTCTGTAATGTGACCTGACCTATTGAATAATACAGCAAGTTGAATGAGGGCGTTATTACAGATGCTACACCCGGTAAGGGTGCATGGGAAGATTTTGGGACAAATTAATATTTTGGAAGTTAAAATTAAAAAAAAAAATCCGGTTAGAATGCGTATGCATGTACACACACACCTTTTTGCACTTTATAGTACAGCGGTGTTAGCGGTGATGTGATTGCATTTTGTACTGTTCCAGTTGATGTGCAAGCTCCGGCTCAAAAACATAATTATCCTTTTTGAAGAAATTCTTTAGAAACTGCAGCAAATACTGCATACAAACTAGACAGTACATGTACATAGCAAGTTCTGAAACTTCCATGGCAGGAATTTCTTTTTATATACACGACTGTGCCGTATACCCATAGAGCTATATTAACCCTAACGTACCTAAATCCATCAAAATCCACCCCCCTGTTTCGGGGGATTTCGGCGGATTCATGATACCGGTACCTCCATATTGAACAAACTGGGGGATTTTGATGGACTCAGGATTCGAAGCCTAGCGGAACTGGCGGATTTTGATGGATTCAGGATACCTCCATTTTGAGCTATTGGGGGACTTTGATGGATTCAGGATCTCAACAGTTTAACTCTTTTGCGATGTTTGTGGTCAAGTAAATACTGCTGGCACTAGCCCTGCCAAGTCTGTCACATACTGTACAAACATGTACACACATGTACTGGGTGGACTTGCATGGAGGGTCACATGCTGGAGGAAAGATACAAATAATGCGCGTAAACGTTACAAATGCAACGCCGTTTACGCGCAATGAGCACCATGTGCATCGCTAATAATTATGTGTGCGCATCGCATAAATACTCAGTGCGCATATCTTGCTTCGCGCGTGTTGAGCTAGGTCACGTGCTGGAGGAAAGATACATTTAGCTCCATTACTTTACGTTAATTTGTTGTGCGTCTATGAGAGACAACCAAAATGGCGGAGACTTATCGCACAGTGACTGGACGCGTGTGGACACGCTGCCGATCTAGTCTTTTCATTCTATATCTATGGTTTACGGTTTACGGTTTATGGTTTACGGTTTACGGGCTGAAACACGCGCCAATGTTTTTCACACAAATTTTGTGTGCGAGATGTATTCACTTCGGTACTGATCCATGCTGGGGTCGCCATGCATTGGTGTATTTTGATGGATCCTATGCAACAACACACATCACAATTTTCACGCGAGCATGGTATCCTGAATCCGTCAAAATCCACCAGAAATTTAGGTGATGGATTTTGAAGACTCTATGGAAAAACATGCTGTATTTTTTTTTATGCCACCATGGTATCCTGAATCCGCCAGAATCCATCTAGCCTTGACCAAGGCTATCAGCTTGTTCCCATACGAGCTTGTTCCCGCTACCGCACACCGCGCGCGCCGCGACACAATCACTAGTTGTACTATGCCGTTAGCCCCAACGACCCTTGCGTGTGCTTTGTGTGCATGTACGTAAGCCCCACACACACTTCCGCAAACAGCCATACAGTAAGTCGAGGCGGAAGATAGCCTTGACGCAACCGTGGCGAATTCCTTATGTGTTTCTTTATAGTTTCGACCGAAATCGGCCGAGAATTTCTGATGCGCATATATTACACGATATCCAATCAAAGCCCGTAAACTTTGACCTGCGATATATATATTCATGATCCCACAAATTTCTGCATACACCACGTACATGTATGTTCAATCCCATATTAAACCATTTCTCCAGTTTTATTACAAACAAATGAAATATGCCGCTATATGAGTGAACAATTATTCAAAATGATACTATTTCCAATGTATTGCGAATTGGCCAGTTCAAGACAGTCCGCCGACGTTTATTGTCGGTGCAACAGCGTACATTATCACGCCACTACCTGCCCGTGCTATTCTGACAGCGAATGTAGGGAACAGGTCAACTCGGACCCAGGTCAAATCGTACCCATTCGAATGCAGGTTAACTCGTATCTATAAGTCATGTCGCACCCGTATGAATTAACTGCAAGAAACGAGCTATTGACTTTGGGATGGAAATATACGAAACTGTCAGGTGCATGGTGAAAAAAAACTCTCCCTGAATTCGTACCATGTGCAACATACATGTACATCTCATATGTACAACATGATTTTAATGCGTACGTATGAATCGTATGTCGTACCTACGACATACGTACGACATGTAAGTCGTAGATGTAAATCGTATGAGTATAAGTCGTTCTCACAAGATATGTTGTATGTACGACATAATCGACAAACAAGTCGAACATACGAGTTACAATTCATATTTTGTACACACGAGATATTAAGTCGTACTTATATAAGACTTTGTCGTATGCGACATATCGTACCCTGTCGACTCGACATATGCACGACATATATGTTGTACCGGCACCTGTCGACATTATGTCATACATGTATGTTTGATATGTCATACCCTGTCGACATATATGTCATACCCTGTCGATGATATTAGTCGTACCCTGTCAAAATATGTCGTACCCTGTCGATATATAGTTGAACATACAACATATAACTTATAAGTTGTTCATACAAGTTAAAATCAGTCTTACGGAATAAGTTAGCTTTTCCTATATCCCCTTGTGTGAGTGGTTTTTTTGCCGATGAACGAGAAAGCACAGCGTGTCTTACCGCATGGCGCCAGCCGGACCGGTGCCTACAGTGCACGGCCCCAACGTGGCTTCTGTGCACGGTGACATTGTTTTTGCCGGCGTGCGGTTTTGTACCGTTTGCCGTTTTTTGAAGGTCTAATTTTTCATCCTTTTCATTTCATTTTCGACCCAATCTACTTGTAACTTTATAAATATTATTCTACTATTATTTAAGATTTTAAGGGGGTGTTTTACAATAATTATTGTTACCACAGGTCGTCTGGTTTATAAACCTTTGGTCGTATTATGCAATTTAACAAATATTCATTTTTTTGTCAGCCGTTATCCAATGAGAGAAGACTATTTACCATAGCGCGTACTAATTATCATATTGAGCCTACACGGTTGCGTCAAGGCTATCTTCCGCCTCGACTTAACTGTACGACTGTTTGCGGAAGTGTGTTTGGGGCGTACGTACATGCACACAAAGCACACGCAAGGGTCGTTGGGGCTAACGTTATAGTACAACATTGTGTCGCTGCGCGCGCAGTGTGCGGTAGCGGGAACAAGCTCGTATGGGAACAAGCTGATAGCCTTGGTCAAGGCTAGAATCCATCAAGACTTTTGCTGGTGGATTCTGGCGGATTCAGGATACCTCCAGTATCTACACTGGGGGATTCTGATGGATTCAGGATACCAGCATTTTTGAAATACTAGAAATTTTGTACGGCTTTTGTACGGCTATTTACATATCTGCGTTTGTAATTCCATACTGGTGCGTTATCGAAGCCAATACGCCCAAAACCGAAATGCACGATCAGCAAATGAGCGTTTCATTTTGCTCTACGCAAACAGTGCAACGCGTGCGCGTAATCGCTGCAGATGCTTTTTGCCATCACGTTTTTTGAACCGTCAATGACGCGCTCAAGTTGTTTGCGTATGTTCTACTTGCGCGTTGCATGTAGATTACACTTTCAAAATTCAAACCATCTTATTGCATAATGTTCTACAAACACGCACATGAATTCAAAATGTCTGCACCCAGGACGGCTTCAAAGCGTCTCCACGCGCAGAATGACGAGTTAGCGCTCTAGTAATTTAATATAGCTCTATGCGTATACCTTTTCTCCTTTTTTAACAAAGAGAGTGAAACCTATCTTATAATGCACATGCCAAAATGGACATGTACAATATGTGTATACCGGTACTACCAGCCGGATTGATGACCTTTGCAGACCCATTTTATAAAACTAAAATTGAGAGTTTTTGAATGTCAGAAAAAGAAAGAAAAAGAACAGGCTTATTTATCCACTAAAATCACACCACTGTAGATACCAAATTTGTCCTTAAACCAGTCCTGAATCCTCCAATTTTAACACTATTTTGTACATGTATTGGATAATTAAAATATATGTACCTGTACCTGAGTTGTTTCATGTAGACAGGAACTACATGTAGTCAGTGGCGTCACCAGACTTTTCAGTCTGGGGGGACACAGGGGGGGCACCAGCATTTGATGGGGGGGGGGGCACTTAGGTGGATACGGATCGCCGTCCTGGGGGAGGGGTCTAAGGGGAGGGGGTGCCCCCCTCCCCTTTGGAAAATTTCGCATACGAAGGATGGGCTAGATGCAAAATGGTGCCACATTTGCAGCTCATTTGAAGAAAATACGAATTACTGTGCTTCTTTGTCCTTATGAAAAACCAACTCAGATGATGGGAGTTGAATATAACAAAATATATATATATATTTTTTTACCAACCCAAATCTCAGATGGGGGGGCACTCGGGGGGGCACTAGGTTTTCCAGGGGGGGCACGTGCCCCCCCTGGCCCCCCCCTTGGCGACGCCACTGCATGTAGTATGCACAAGATGTAATGCTCACTGTATTATGACACAGAAACTTTTATGACACAGAAACAATGTTCAACATTTAAAATGGTTTCTTAATTTTGAAGAATCCCTTTCAAGGTACATTGTAAACTGACCCATTGTAACCGACATGTTCTATTTTTGTCTAGTGGAAATAGGCCTTCACTGTGGCTAAGTGCACAAACTTGCTGAAGACAGAACATTTAAATAACCAAAAAAGAAAGGGAAAAAGGAATTAAAGTCATCCCTAAAATTGTTAGTGTTTTTAAAATTTTAATTTTTACATGGATCACATTCTTTCTTCACACTTTTTACAAAGCAAATATTTGTGCTTCTCAGCAGACCCATGACATTGGCTCTAATTTTTATTCTAATCAAATATGAGTGCTGAAAATGATTTTTTTTTATCAAATGGCAATATGCAAAACCAACTTTTATAGACTCTGTTTACCCTTTTCTTGTCATCTCACCTTCCTTTGATCAGATATGATTCGACAGGGTCTGGAATTGTCTAAGAGGCCTCATGTTGTTATCTCAACTCCTGGGCGGCTGGCTGACCACATCAAGAGCACCGACACTTGTGACCTTAGCAAAATCAAGTTCCTTGTAAGAATGAATTAGAGTGGTTATGCCTTTGATTTCAAGCCATATATGTTTATATTGATTACATGTACCTTGGTCTGGTTCCCTGACCTCATTGCCCTTCGGACTTCACAAATGGGGTCCAGTAATTAGCGGTGAATCTTCCATACATTACACGGAAATCTGTGTAATACATGCAAATTTATGCATGACGTCAATAGGTCTGAATCCGGCCTCTTTGATTCAAAATCACAATGGTAATATTTGCCCGCAACCAGCCTATTGGAAAATGGCAATAGCCTGGCCGCGAATTGGGAATTTTAGAGGTAATGATCTTCGATTTTTGCTGAATTTGAAAGTATCTGTGGCAAATATCAATAAAAAAAGAGATATTGCTGTTCAATATTTACAACCTATCATGCCTATGCAGTTGAAATGCTTGACAGTTGCTTTCATGGAGACACTGGTGATTTTTGTACTTTTTGTGATAAGATAAGCGCGAGTTTCTTGATAATGTCACGATTATGTGTTGAATGACCGGTGTCCATGCACAATTGAACAGCCATTCAAAAATAAACAATCATGCTGTGCGCGAAGAGGTGAGCCAATCAAGGGTTTTAAATGGGAGCCCTATTTTTTTTTGGGAGGGGAACAGTCTACATTTACCTTTTCAGCTTAATTGGATGAAGTGTATGAAAAACTGAGTCATCTGAGTCATCTGGCTAAAACAATAGAAATCTTGTCAGGGCAATAACTTGAGAGAAATAGTTAACAAATGAACTACAAATTCGGTTTGTGGATTGCTCTTGGTAGTCCTAAGAAGCCTATTTCAATTCGGGCTGGAAGGTCAAGGGTCAAGGTCACAGTGGCTAAAACAATAGAAATCATATCAGCGCAATAACTTGAAAAATACTTTACATATGAACTTCAAATTCGGTTGTGGATTGCTCTTGGTAGTCCCAAGAAGCCTATTGCAATTGGGGCCGAAAGGTCAAAGGTCAAAGGTCAAGGTCACAGTGGCTAAAACAATAGAAATCGTATCAGCGCAATAGCTTGAAAAATACTTTAGGCCAAAAAAAAAAAATATTCGGTCTCTGGTCAGACCAAAGTTCCGGAATTGACGCGGCCACGCGGCTTTTTTTTTTTTTGGCTTTTTTTTTTTTCCTTCAAGCTTGAATTGTACATACAAGGTGGGTACTATTTTGCTTTTTTGGTGTCCTCGTGTACATTGGTGTCCTCCATAATTTGCCTTGGTGCTTTCGATCATTTGCCTTGGTGCAATTTCCCATTCCTTGGTGCTCCGTGGAAAAAAAATTGAGGAGGTGCAGAAATAGAGGGCGCTGTTGGAGCTACCGCGGAACATTTTGAAAAAAAAAAAGATCGACACGCATGGTTAAAATCGACGCGCGCGCTGACCAGAGACCGACTTATTTTTTTTTTGGCCTTACATATGAACTTCAAATTTGGTTGTGAATTGCTCTTGGTAGTCCCAAGAAGCCTATTGCAATTGGGGCGAAAGGTTCAAGGTCACTGTGGCTAAAACAGTAGAAATATTGTCAGCGCGATAACTTGAGAAATACTTTGCATATGAACTTCAAATTTGGTTTATGGATTGCTCTTGGTAATCCTAAAAACATTTGCATTTGGGGCTGAAAGGGTCAAAGGTCAAGGTCACAGTGGCTAGAACAATTAAAAATCTTGTTTTGTATAAAATAGAAATGTGATCTTTTATTTCGTTTTATGTACATCTGTGTTTTTTTTTAAATTAAGCTTGTTTGTACAGGATTTCTTCACATTCACTCACTCTTTTAAATCACATACAATGTCTTCCCAACAGAAAAGCCAAAAAAAAAAGAAAAAAAAGAACACCATGTATTCTGAGATCATAGGGATTAATTCATATCCTACAGAAAATAATAACATGTCGAGTAATGTTCCATGTGACCCAGGTACATGTAAGTTGATGTTAAAAGAGTGGTGTCATGTCATGGGAACAGTCATGGTTGCGGGGCATTTGTGTTCATGTAAAAAATACACCTGAATTTTTTTTTTCCAAGATTTATAATGTCCATCCTTTATTGTGCATTGCGAGGGGGGAGGGGGGCAAGGAGGGGGGTGTTTGCCCCCCCCCCCCGAAAAGCAAAAAAAGAAACAAAAAAGAAAAAGAGGTGTAAAGTCACATTGCTGTTAATTTAACGGTTGGGGGGGGGGGGGAATGTCCCTGCCCACCCTCGAAAAATGATACATCAAGAATATCCTGGAAAAAGTACAGGGATTTTTTGGGGAAAATGTACTTTTCCCCCCTCTAGAAAAAAATCCTGGCGACGCCCATGGCTGTACATGTAATGCACGTAGCCCAACATTCAACTGTTGAGGGATTTAATTTATGTACTACTCTTGAGCCCATGAAGTTGTTGCTCTTTGAAACTATCTCCATAAAGTTTGCTTATTGATTTGTGCTAAATCAAAGAGGCATTAAAAAAAAATATGCCTGACTCCAGTTGAAAAAAATAAAACAATTCAAATTATGTAAAGGTAAGATGCTGTAAGAGTTGATTTGATTCCGAGTTGGTTTGGATCCAACTTGACTCAAAAAAGGAACATCTGCATGAGTTTAATAATGTACATTCTCAAACATCCAGTAGTGTAAGATGAAATATCAAATGAATCTTTTTGGACTCATGTTTTGCAACTTGTGACGTTGCATCCGAAACCATCGCATGATAGATGGCTAGGAATGCCTTGAATGGCCTGGTCCAGTACCTGGTCCGGTACCTGGTCCCAGGTAGTTAAACAAAATCGCAACCAATAATCAGCAAAATTATCAATGATGTTGACGGAAAATACCTTCGAATGGGTCACCTAGTTCACCAGACATGCGCAGTTACATGTAGCTCAACACAAGAAAACCAAGATTCACCATCGTGAAAAATTCACAAAACTGAATGTGTCTAAAGCAAACTGGAGGGTTTTGAAAGAATGTGCCTCCACTTCCTGTACTAGTAAATGGTTCAAGAATCTTTCAGACCATACTCTTTCACACCAGGCCTTGTCGGTTCTTGCTAAAGGATTGAATTAGGCAGTCATCCCTGAGAAAATACCGATCATCGGGATTGTTCTTGCGGACAAAGGCAAATGTGTGGTTGAACTGAACAACAAGACTACAATGGCAAATGCAAGGATTTACCCAAAGACAAGCAAAACATACAAATAGGTGGGTCATAATCCTACCAGTGGCTACAGAAAGGTAATAACTGATTTCACCAACAAGTTCTACTCTAACAGAAACTTGACAATTGATCAAAAGAGGAAATTCGATTCTCCCACTGAATCGTCGATCCCAGCATTTTATGGGCTACTGAAGATCCATAAGCCTGATCGTATACCATTAAGGCCAATTGTGAGCAGTATTGCATCTGTAACTTACAATCTTGCTAAACATGCGGCACATATTCTAAGACCCTTAGATGGTAAGTCTCCACACCACATCAAATTACCAAAGATTTTACAACGGATAAACAGATAAAGGATATCAAGCTACAAGACAAGACAATAACATCGTATGATGTCAAAGCACTTTTCATGAGTATCCTACCTAATGCTGCAATCCAAGCTGTTAGAAACGGCTGGAGTGTAACAAAATCACTAAACTAGTAGATATCTGCCTGAAAACCACATGTTTCTCCCACGCTGGGAAATTTGTACAAACAACAACATGGATGTGCAATGGGCTCTCCCAGTTCGCCTATTGTGATGCATCTTTGCATGGAAATCTTTTTAAACAAATGGCACTGAATAGCTGCACTGGCAATATTCCAAGACTTTGGCTAAGATACGTCGATGATACCTTCGTCATAATCCAGAAGCAGAAACCGGACGATTTCTTCGAACACATCAGTAGTACAGATGAAAACATCAAATTCACTCAAGAACAGTGCAAAGAGAACAAGCTTGCCTTTTGGACTGCATGGTTATTGTCAACAGTGATGGCACCGTCACTACTGATGTCTACAGGAAACCAACCCACACGGACCAATACTTACAATTTAGGTCACATCACCCCTTAGTTTACAAACTGGGAGTCATCGTCGTCGCCAGCCTCAGTCGGTCGGGAATCGACAATGGGTGATGCGCCCTTTATCAATTGTTGACTGGTGTGTGATGTGGGATATGACGTTTTGAACACCTGAGGGGCGCATATGCGCTCCGAGGTTGTTCAAAACATCATATCCCATATCACACTAGTCAACAATTGTTTTGTTATACCTATGTCTTGGATTTTTTCGATTTTGATGTAGAAATCACGAAAACAAACAGCAGTTAACACAACAATCATGACAATCTAACGGCAACTCACATGCATGTCGCGTGCTCGAAACAGCTGATAGTCTGCAAGTTCGTTGCATTTTACGTGTATACGCGTATGTACCGTACGCACCGTACGCACCGTACGCAGAAAGTCATTGCACACTCCCTGTGAGATCACGTCACAGGGAGTGTGCTATGACTCTATAAAATTAAACACGTGATCATTCTAGGCCAATGAAAATGCAGTATTCAAGACAGAGGTATCATATAACAAAGATGTTTGTTGCACTGCAGCTGGAGTTGGAACTGCGTCGGTTGTACTGATGACGCCAATGCTGGAATTACAGTCTCTGCCACAGCGGCCACATGTACGACTTGTCTCTGGGTAGCTTGCAGTGTTGTTGTACTCGTTCACAGTACTCGTTACTTTTTTTTAGAGAGCTCGTACTCGTATTCGAATGTCGAAGTACTCGTACTCAAAATGACGGTACTCGTACTTGGGCAGCAAAATACACAAGGTTGGTATTGTAGTGGTGTTCACTACATCGGGAAAATTCGAACGAAGCATCGTTTGGCTGACCGATATACTGAGCACCTTCGAAGTGTCCGACTTAATCTACCCGGACACCCTGTGGTGCGCCACTTCTCCAAGCCTCTTCACACGTGTGACGACATGCCTGTGTGTGTCCTGACCATGACAACATCGAAAGCCCAGTGCTTGGAGATGGAACTGAACACTGCATCCACTACAAGCTTGCAACGCTCACGTCAGCGGTTTGAATGTGGAATTTTCTGCATTCAAACTGCCAGTCCAACTCCCAGCTCCGATGAAGCTGTTGTTTGAAGCTCTTGTTTGGGATATGTTGTCCAGGTCTCGCTTCCATAGAGAAGAGTGCCGACAATGCAGGCGTTGTACACCGCTGTCTTGGTCTTGCTTGTGATTTTGTGTTCTCCCAAACATGTTTGGTGAGCCGAGTGAGAGTGGATGCACCATTCCCAATATATTTTTTTATTTCAACATCCAGGGAGAGGTTGTCGCTGATGGTGGACCCTAGGTATGGAAACTGGTGAACAACATCCAATTCATAGTTGTCGATGGTAATGACTGGTGGAGCTTCCACGTCCTGACCCAACACATTCATCTTCTCCAAACTGATGGTCATTCGGAAGTCTTTTCAAGCAAGGGGAAAGCAGTCCATCAGATACTGGAGTTGTTGCTCAGTGTGCGTTGCGACTGCAACATCATCTGCAAACAGCGTGTCCCTGATGAGGGTCTCACACACTTTGGTTTTGGCTCTGAGGTGTGCAAGGTTGAACAGTCGTCCGTCAGACCTAGTGTGAAGGTAGATTCCCTCCGTCAACAACCCAAAAGCATGCTTCAGAAGCAGGGAAAAAAACATAACAAAGAGGGTTGGGGCCAGAACACAGCCCTGTTTGACGCCACTGCGTGATATTGAAGGATTCCAATGAACTTCCGTCATACTGGACTGTTCCTCTCATGTTCTCATGGAAGGATTTGATCAAGCTGAGTAGCTTTTGGGGACAGCCAATCATTGGGAGAATTTGGAAGAGGCCATCTCTGCTGACCAGATCGAATGCCTTGGTGTGGTCTATGAAAGCAATGTACAGGGGCTTTTGCTGTTCCCTGTGCTTCTCCTGAAGCTGTCGGAAGGAGAAGATCATGTCCACCAAGGTCTTTTGCATTGTGACTCGTGGTAAAGGGTCCCACTAACTTCTGAAGCTGAATCAAGACAACACATGCAAATAGTTTGCCAACGATGCCAAGGTGGGAGATGCCCCTGTAGTTATTGTAATTGCTTCATTCACCCATTTTCTTGTAAAGAGTGGCAATCTTGGCATCGTGCATGTCCTGTGGTACGGATCCCTCGCTCCAGCACTTGCAGAGGATGTCATGTAAGGGGTGCAGAAGTGTACTTTTGCAGCACTTGATCTGGTCTGGTGGGATCCCATCATTACCAGGAGCTTTTCCAGAAGCCAAGCTGTCAATGGCCTTGCTGAGATCTTCCAGTGTTGGCTCTGTGTCTAGTTCGTCCATGGTGGGCAGGCAATCGATGGCATCAAGGGCCGAGTGGGTATCAGTGTTCTCTCTGGAATAGAGCTTGCTGTAGTGTTTTACCCATCTCTCCATATGTTTGCCTCTGTTGGTAATCACTTCATGTAAGTGGGGAAGGGGTTCTGTAAGTGGGGAAGCTCCTGGTACCGATGCATATAAAAGAATCTGGCCATAGTTTCGGTAGTGAGAAAGTTGTGATCCTAGACAAGAGGAGCACTAGCTGGCTTAAAAGAGGCATCGGGGAAGCCATCTGGGAAAGAATAGAACAGCCATCCCTCAACAAGAAGGGCGGGCTACTTTTTAACATATCTCATTCATGGGACCGGCCATTCCTAGCCATCTATCTTGTGACCAGCCCACCGGGTCATTAGTTGTGTGACGAAGTCCAATGGTGTCGGACACATGTTGCAAAATGTAAATCCAGAAAAAAGATTCATTTGACATTTCATCTGCATGAGTTTGTTATTTGCCCTAAGGAGTGAAGTAAATCATCAGTTTGGATGAAGAAAATAATGACTTTTCAGTACAGCTGTACAACACATTGCTGTACCTTGTTGTGAACACATGTACCTGCTAAACTCTTGTTTCAGGTTCTAGATGAGGCAGACAGGTTATTAGAAGGCAACTTTGGTCCAGATCTGGAGGTCATATTTGAAAATATTTCAGCAGAACGGCAAACGTTGCTCTTTAGTGCCACCATCACTGACACAATGAAGGAACTACAGAAAGTCTCTTTGAGCAAACCATTCTTCTGGATTTCTAAAACACCGTGAGTAGATCAGTGGTTGTTACGTGAAACTGGCTGCAAATAGTTACTGTTTTGATTGATTCCGCAGCAGAGCAATTGAAAAGATGTCTACCTTCTTCTTGACCTGTTGTGATTTTTTGTGTGACATGGTTGTTTTTCATTGCCATTAATCTGTTAACACTATTGTTTTTTTCTATTATTTACCCTCGTTTTTCTGTACACTGCTAATCCTAAGAGGCAGTGAGGCTTGTTGTGGGAACTGGATATCCATAAAGGAAATATTTTTGATGGTTTAATATTTGTAGTGTTGTCACAGTTGAGCAGCTGGATCAGCGTTATTGCATCACGCCAGCACAGGTCAAGGATGCCTACCTCATGCATATTGTGCATACATTTTGTTCAGAGAGCAAAGAGAAATCCATCATTATATTCACCAGTACATGCAAGTAAGTCAATTTCTTTGATGACTGTTTTAAATCTTTCCTAAAATAGACTCGTGGATTTGAATGAGCAGGGAAAATTTCACAAAAGTGGACTTTGCACACACCCAAGACTATAGTTCAATGACATTTATTATGTTATTGCCAATCAAATGTTGAATCAGTGTTCATCCAACTTGCCTTCTCTGTATGACCCAAAATGTCAGATCGACCCATAATGTAATATCAACGTATACTGTAATAAAAATAATCCCGCAAACATCGACCTAAAATGTAATAACTGAAATGTGTATTTTTATGCCCCGCGGCGAAGCCGAAGGGGCATACTGTTTCCGCCTTGTCCTTCCGTGGATGGGTGGGGACAGTGGCATCACCAGACTTTTCAGTCTGGGGGGGCACAGGGGGGGGGGGGCACCAGCATTTGATGGGGGGCACTTAGGTGGATACGGATCGCCGTCCTGGGGGAGGGGTCTAAGGGGAGGGGGTGCCCCCCTCCCCTTTGGAAAATTTTCGCATATGGAGGATGGGCTAGATGCAAAATGGTGCCACATTTGATGCTAAATTCGATCTGAAGATATCTCCAGAAATTGCTATTTAACCAACTCAGATGATGGGAGTTGAATATAACAAAATATATATATTTTTTTTTACCAACCCAAATCTCAGATGGGGGGGGCACTCGGGGGGGCACTAGGTTTTCCAGGGGGGGCACGTGCCCCCCCTGGCCCCCCCTTGGCGACGCCACTGGGTGGGGATGTATAAACACTGCCTTATGGGGTACTGGAACAATGGAAGGTACCCCACAAGGAATGCCCGCCAACTTGCGGGGTACCGTTTTGGTACCCCACAAGTTTTTCACGAAATAGATATATGGATTTTACTCAAAAACTAGGAATTTCCAAGGTGAGTTGATCTGTTGCAAACGGAAGAGTTTTTAGAAAAGGGATATTAAGTCAGAATTTCAGCCCAGAAAATTAATTCCGGTTAAAATAAGAGCATTTTGAAATTAGTGCGTGACATTGCAAAAATTTAGTACGCGAGAACAAAGGAAGTACCCCTCTTCTCTGCCTGTGTAAGTGGGTGTGGGTGAAAAATGAAGCGGAACTGCTTAGCACTGAAAAAAAAGTATAAGTGATGAAAACAAAAGTTAAAGCAGTGCTCACCGGGAATTGTTCTGGCTGAATTTTCGGCCCCGCTGGGCCTTCATCAGAGCTATGTCTGTTTGAATGCAGAAAAATCCACATTCAAACTGCCTGGCGTGAGTGTTCCAAGCTTGTAGATGATGCGTTGTTCCATCTCCAAGCACTGGGCGTTCGATGTTGTCATGGTCAGGACACACACGCGCATGTCGTCACACGTGTGTGGTGGCTTGGAGAAGTGGCGTGCCACAGGGTGTCCGGGGAGATTGAGTCGGACACTTAGAAGGTGCTCAGTATATGTCAGCCAAACGACGCTTCATTTCGCCGATGTAGTGGACACTGCATAGTTTGCGGGAGATACAATACACCAGGTTGGTGGATACGCAAGTGAATTGTCCCCTGGGTATATAACTGCCTTTGGGACCGTCGATCTTGCGTGGATTGTGGATGGACCTGCACATATTACAGCGTGTGCGATTGCAAACTGTGGTGCCGGTGTTGATGTCGTTAACATCGGAGACTGGTAAGAGCATTGATCGGATTAAAGTCTGTCCAATGAACCGGTCACGTCTGAAAGCAACGAGGGGAGTTGAATCGTTGTTGAAGATGTGGCTGGTCAAAGGATCAACTTGTAGCGTGCGGAACTTTTTCCGGATGATAGCACGAACCCGGTGTGGGTGAACGTATAAACACTGCCTTATGGGGTACAGGAACAATGGGAGGTACCCCACAAGGAATGCCCACCAACTTGCGGGGTACCGTTTTGGTACCCCATAAGTTTTTCACGAAATAGATATATAGATTTTACTCAAAAACTAGGAATTTCCAAGGTGAGTTGATCCGTCGCAAATGTAAGAGTTTTAGAAAAGGGATATTAAATCTGAATTTCAGCCCAGGAAATTAATTCTGGTTAAAATAAGAGCATTTTGAAATTAGTGTGCGACATTGCAAAATTTAAGTACACGAGAACAAAGGAAATACCCCACTTCTATGCCTGTGTTAGGGTGTGTGTGGGTAGGCATTGCATTCACTGTGTGGACTTCCGAACAAAAGAGGTCCACATAAACCAGGTAGAGGCGACGTTGTGGGGACTTGGGCAAGTCCACACAGTGTTTCTAGAAAACAGGTTTAGAGGCATTTTTGGGTTAGGTTTATCCGTGGCAAAATGAAGAGAAACACTAAAGGGGATCATAGAAAAAAAAATTGGGTTTAAAGAGTTTCCACAGTTTGAGAAAAAAAGATTTTTTTTCACTGGTTTTTCTTAAGTACACGAAACCAAGGGAATGTCCACACTTCGTATGTAACGTTAACATGCGTGTGTGTGTGCTATTGCAATACGCGATCATGGCTTGTTCACACATTGCTTTAAAGATCTATGTGATCACGGAGTGAGGTAATACCAGGTGAGGTGGAATCCTAAAATTCAACAAGCTTCACAGAAGTGAAGTTTGATTTGGATTCTAGCGAGCTGGATTACGTGCCCTCCCTAGTCGTCATTAATGACTCCCACCCGGTAATAGGATCAAAACAATTGATAGTGTTAGTTTTTGGCTTGATTTTACATGAGTTCACGAGCCAACTTTCAAGTCTGAAGGCGCGGTCAACGCAATCTCATGTAATCCCTCTGTGCCGTTATACGGCTCGGTAGAATACCAATCAAACTTCACTTCTGTGAAGCTCGTTTAATTTTAGGAGTTTACATTACGTTATGTGCCTATTTTAATTACATCATGGGTCTGTAAATATTACATTACGGGTCAATTGTTACATTATGGGTCGTAACATGATCTTTGCTTGTGTGAGGTGCTAGTCACAGACCATAATATATGGTCATGTAAAAATCCAACTTTGAAAAAGCACCTTTAACACTGCAGTCAACATCAATCAAGTGACTGTTTTCAACAGTTAAGACTTCCCAGCCTACACAAAGCAGGATTAATGGGCTATGACTGTTTATGTAACTTGATACAGCTACATGTGTATGCTTTGACTGTGGGTAATTGATGAGCCGGCTGTGCCTTCAACTTTCCTGCTTTGTCTGTTGACATGGCAGGGGAAGTGGATTGATTTTTTGACTGCCTGTGACTGTTAAAATGGCTGGAGGATTAATGTGATGTCACATGACATGTGATGATGTCATCATGACGTCACTTCAATTTTCATCTATGACACATCCCAGTCTAGGTATATACCAAGTTAGAATCAGATTGGGCATGTTCTGTGGATATTGGCAAATTTGAAAAAGCACCTTCAGTGTGACGTCACATCACATTATGACAAAATTTGAGTAAGATGCTCTGTAATAGGTGGCCGCAGTGCAACCAACATTCCTACCAAGTTTCAGGATTTTTAAATGTTTTTATTAAAAAAATAAATAAAAAAATAAACACTGTATACTCAGTGTTGTCCAAAATGATTGTGAAAAAAATCACAGCCTACTCAGGTGAGACTCGAACCTATGACCTGCTTACTAGTGCAGACGTCTTACCACTCGACCACTGAGGTTGCCAGGGTCAGCTGGCTGGTTCGAATTTGATATAGCAGCAGGTACTGCAACCAAACTTTTCATAAGATTTTCATCCGGATGATGTAAATTCAATATTGGGTTTTGCCCTTCACTGATGTAAATGATAACGTAAAAATGGTGTTTTTTTCTGTCTGAGGAATTGCCATTTGTTGGCCATCATGCTGAGAGAGATGGGTCTGCCTTGTGTCAGCCTTCATTCACTAGTAAAGCAGGTATTGTAACACTCATTGTCATTGTGTGCAATTGAGCTTTTCAGAGCCATTTATAAGTAAGATTTGAGGCTTTGCATGGTGGAAATACTAAATAATGAAAGGTTTGCGGAAACACCATGTGCGAATAATTTCTCAACTAAGAGAATGGTTCTGAAAAGAACCAGAGGTATAAACTCGACGATCCCTGAAGACGGTCAGAGCATACTGACCGGAACGTCGAGTTTATACCTCTGGTTCTTTTCAGAACCATTCTCTTAGTTGAGAAATTATTCGCACATGGTGTTTCTGCAAACCTTTCATTATTTAGAGCCATTTATGTAAATTTGTACCTAGATCTACTACCCCATAACAGTTATAATGCCAGTCTACGTCACTCAGCTTACCTGCAGAGCAATCTACTTATGCATATTCCCTAGACCGGCAGGTATTTCCGCTAAGAGTTTCATACAATAGCACCCTCTGGTGTCCTACCCATAATGCCCCGTGGCATGCGTGCCTCGTGAGCGTCCTCTTTTTCTTCTTCTTCCTTGTCAGTGCTGCTTTAATATGGTTGAAGATAAACGCACTGCGTTGGGCGCATGCATTGTCTAAGGACAACAGAAACTTGTGCTCGGGTACAGTGCTGTATATATACAGGTGCAAGTAAAAAATCTGAGGTTAATTGACCTATCGCCGTTTGGAAGGTAGCCACGCCCCTTGGACAACCCTATGAATTTTTGTACACTAAGCTTTGTTTGTCTCAGATTTTGCGCGTTCTGCGTATATTTGTATATCATGTAATTGGACAATATTTCACAAGCTGCGTTGACGCGATTCTAACGCGATTCTGACACGATAGGTCAATTTAAGCGGAGGTCTCTCAGCGCAAATTAGAAGGCGTGGAGGGATGGGTATGCAGCAGGATCAACTGGGAGGTGGTTCAGTCCCGGATGGTACGTGGGAAGTATGAGCTAGCATACACTGAAGATCTGGTGTGTGAGAAAGTGAATCTGGAACTGTGTCCTCTGGAAGGTGTAGATAAATGAGTAAGATGGCTGCTGCAAGGGATGTCGACCAAGTTATATCTGACCTTGTTCATCATTTGCAGGCGATTCCTGTAGTGAGGGCCAGTCAAGATGTTCTAACATGGCTGTAACACTGCTTGTTCTTCTGTGATCGCCCATGACGAAACGAGCCTAGCTTCGTTGGACTTGCTCAAGCTTCTTGGTATTCCGTTGGGTATGTGGATCCCATGAAGCTGCTGCAAATTCGACAGATGGATGAATGAAGGTGGTGTAGACAGCTTCTTTGACTTTCTGACTGCTGTGGCTCAGGTTACGGGAGAAGAAGGGCTTGCTCTTAGTGGCAGATTGGGTAGGACGTGTTTAAAATACGCTCTGTATTTCTCGTCTGTTTTGCTACCCTTTTTCGCTTGAGAAGTTTATTGATAAAATAAAGACTTAAACAACAACTTGTAGAGTTTTCCATCGTCTTCTTTATTTATTCATCATGTCCATTTGATAAGGAATGAATTGTTTGGGGAGAACCGGCCTGTCACACACCTGGGGGAATTCCTCTCACATGGGACGGCCAAGTTCTTGGGGACTACACCGTTAACGCTTGCGCCGTTGCCGCAGCTGGTCCCTTGTCCAGCACCCCCGGCCACTGCTGGCTGCGGGCATTGGCAGTTCTGCTGGCCAGTTAAGGGGACCTCAGTGGCCTTCTCCGGTCAGCCCAAGCGGAACACCCAAACAATAGGTACGCTCCGGCAAGGTTCCTCCAAAACATATCTCCTGTGCCGGAGCAAAAACCTATAAAGGGCAGACAGGGTAAGTGTGGCTCGGGTGCGAGCGCCGCTATACCCTCCGGCCTTTCCCTGAACACAGGGCAGCTTGAGGGGACTAGTCGCCACGCTTCAGTGGACTCCAGTCACCTTTGTCCTCCCGGCACAGTGTTGAGCACCTCTGAGTGCTAGGACGGGCTATTTTACGGGCTACCGGACTGACCAGCGTTTGCTCAGCCCATGGGTTTGAGGCGCTGGTGGCTGGGAATGCTATGAGCGACACGGAGCCGGCCGTTCTGATGCCCCAGGCGTCACCCCCGAAGTTTCATCGGGTGTACCCCGGGGCTACAATAATCTTCGGGAGAGAAGAATAAAGCGGTTCGACTATCATGCATTTTTCTTATTGGGGCGATTTGTCGCACCGATCCCACTGCCCCAAATGCTACCGAGATGAGGAATCGGTCTTTTGAGCCCACTCATTGCAAGCCTTGCAATTGTTCTCAGCTTCATTGTCGACTCCATTGTCGGCCCTATATTGTCGGGCACCATTAATGAAACGGCCTGTCTGAGTTGGGTTGCGAGCCATGCTCTGTAGCCCTCTACATTAGTAATGGTTGAGTGGCTCGAGGACAAAGGGACATGCCGTGCACGTGCTTAGCCGTGCGCCGGTGTTTCTGCCTGAACTGAAATCGCTACAGTTTTCATGCACATGTACATATACATTGTACATGTACAGTGTACATGTGCATGTAATGTCCATTGTCTCCGAGGGAGTTGTTCCACCACTGACTGTGGCCGTGTGCAACTCGTCCCTCCAGGTGTGCTAGACGGTTCTCATTTACGGAGTTAATTCGACCCTTGTATTAGGATGGTTCATCTGATGGCAGCTGCTCTTAACAATGAACCCCAGCCTGAACATAACATCAGCGACTGGTTGTTGTGATGCTTCTGTAGATCAGGCTTGTGTGGACCACATTCGCAAGATTGTGCCTGCATCCAAAATGCCTGCTGCTCTTCAAGCAAGAATGTGATCATTACCATTTTCTGTTGGCAGATTTCAGTTTTCTCAGCTGCATACCTCTTGAAGATTTGCCGTGGTAGTTTTGTGTGGCCGCGCTATCAGCATTTTCGGTGCGCCACGCCACATTGGCTAAGTTCTTCACTGGCAGCAACGGCTCCGATTCGGCTTCATTTGTTTCGATGACTACCATAAGTGACTCATGACGACCTCCACCTGTCTGTCTCGTGGGAGCTCGTTGTCGAGACTTTGTGGCTGACATCAATACCAGTGGACCAACACAGTGTTGCGCCCCTCACGTTTTTCCCTCGGGGAGATGTTTATGAGATTTTAATAGTCGACTTTTACAACTGCAACTTATCAGGCCAGAGCACTGGGAATTTTGCGGTTTCAAACAAAGATTCCTGCTGCAAATTCGTGGTGTCCCCATTCAGCCATTTCCACCTCACTCCTGGACTCTGCTCAGATAGTAAAGGCGATTGGGCTGCGCTGCGGAAACGGAGAGTGGTTGCATAATTCACCTATTTTCCTTGTACTGGCCCAGTCATCACTGAATCCAGTGCACGCCGTGCCCTGACTTGTGCAGTGCCGCCAGTGGTGGTTCGACATTGCCAACCACACAAGGGTGTGCCTCTCATAGATCGCAGCCTTCGCTAACTGTCATGGCAGACGCGTTTCTCTGGCAGTTGACTACCCACCACCCGCATCTAGTGGCGGGTTGGTGAGGCCCTGTGTGAGCATCACTCAAGTTCCATTAACGTACTTAAGATATTGGCAGTCTCCGAGAAACTCTGATGTTATTTTCTAAAATCAGTGACGTGCCAGATGATCCTGGTTTGATGTGACAATGACACGGTTGTGGCTTACATCGACGACCAGGAGGGCACGCAGCCTGCTCAACTGTGTACTCTCACATGAGAAATCCCCCATTGGTGTTTGCGCCACAGTTTCGTGCTTTCGACGGTCCACCTCCCAAGCAAGGAGAACGTCGCTTCTAATGCCCTCCTTAACGTCGGTTTTCACGGGGCACGCGAACGATTTGCGAAGTCCAACATTCGGAGAAGTTTTTCTCCGAATGTCTCCCGACAATGGAGTCGTAAACCATTCTTGCGCAGTTTACTCGAAGTTCTCACAACGTATGTGCGAATGTCGTGTGTACCGTGACTGAACTACGGCCAGTCCACATAAACGAAGAACACGCGACTTAATGCGAGTAATGCTGGGACTCCACGGGTTCTTCTGATCGCTCCTCCTGGGAACTATGGGCCTCTTGCACACCTTCCATCTCCCCTGGCAGGGGGTTTGTCTTCCTCTTCTTGGTCAATCCAACACCTCGGCCACAACTCTTTCCTCCCATGGGCGGCATGTTGTTGTCTTGAGTCGAAGTCAAATGAAGTAAATAAACCACCCACTGTTTAACCTATGAGGCTATAGTATAGGCCAACATAGCCTACTTGCCTACAATACAGAATTCACACAGAGTAGCAAATGCGCGAAATAGTCGTGCGCTTTATATAGGTCAAACGTGGTGTGGATTTGCCGCCAAACGTGCACCAAACGTTCGTGAGAATGTCTCAAGAAGTACGCAAAAAGTTTGCGGAAAGGTCGACAAATAATCGCTTCTAGCGTGAGACACTCTCCAAATTGTCGGGGTCTGTTTGGGGATTTACGAAGAGTTTGCAAACATCGCGCACGTCGTGAGTAGGTCCTGCACATATGACAAAGCTTTTAAGACATTTTTGAGAACAAATCACGAGCAAAACACGACCTGGGATGCTGGAAACTTTCGCAAGAAATTCAAAAAAAATTTTGAAACTCCCGCCGAACTAAAAACGACGCCTGCGAATAATTGACGATGCTTCCGAACCCCCGCGATGGTTTGGCGATCCTTTGCAGCATAAAATACGAATGTTGGACTTTGCCATTTTTTTCGACATTCGCATCCTTCGCAAATCGTTCGCGTGCCCCGTGAAAACCGACCTTTAGGAGTGGTGGATCCTCCCAACAGTGGTAGCTGCTGAGCAACTAACCACATGTCAATCTGCTTGTTTCACGGATTAATCACCGGATAAATCACAGATTTCAGGTCTACTGCGCTAGGATTCCTGACCCCTGCACGTGGCAGACGAATACACTGGTGATGGAGACGGACGGGCTGCTTGCCTACGCCTTCCTGCCGTTCCCTCTCATCCCTCGGGTACTGAATCAACTGGAGTAGAAGGATGACAAGGGCCTCCTCTTAACTCCTTGTTGGTCCCATTGATTGGTTTCCTGGGGCTATAACCATTCCCTTGGTTCACCAGTTAGTGGTACTTCCGAGGAGAACAATATTTTGTTCCAGCTCAGCTTGGGTTTCCTTCACCCAGCTCCGCAGGAATTTCTCCTGATGCTCTGCAGGAATTTCTCCTGATGTGCTGGGTGCTGTCACGCAATTCCTCTGCATATCTGACCTTTCTCAAACAAGCTGTGGCTTTTGCAGCTTGCACTTGGGGGACTTCTAACACGACAGTAGATTACTTTGTGTTAGACAGTCGAACTCCCAGTCTGCTCTTAAATTAAGGAGACCTCTTCAACGCCTTTCTTATCCACGTTATTGAGATCTTTATATTTATTTAAACCAGTGGACAATTTCACATCTGTTTCAATTGTCCCAAAGATTGCCTTTTTGTTAGCAGTTGTTACTTCTAGATGTACATGTAGTAAAGAACTGCTTTCTTTATAATAGAGACGGACCCTATCTGGTGGGAACCTGTGTGCCCGTTCGATCCCTAAGGAAGATTTTTTAAACTAAGACTGTCGGAGTCCTCTTTGCCTCCGGACGTCTTTGTTCCAGGCATCAAATCATTCTTGTCCATTCCTGATGGAGAATTTTGGTGCCAATCATGACTTTGATGTCATACATCAGCTGCACAGGGGCGCTTTGAATCGGTCATTTGCAGTTGCATGTATTTGTCACAACAACCCTGCCATACCGGCAGGCTTCTCCTGACACGTTTTTGTCATAACAACCCTGCCATACCGGCAGGCCTCTCACGACATGTATTGCAAGATTGCCTGATGGTCGGTTATGGTCATCCATGAAACCACGGACGTATCAACGGCAGAGGCCGTGGGATCAGTCCGCATGCACAGAGCATGGGAAAGCAGTGCTGAGGGCAACATTTTCAGACCAGAGACCTCCCTAGAATTGGTGTCTCCTAACTCTGATTCTTTTTTTGAAGTCTGTACATATAATAGTGTCTATATGTACTAATGTCGTAATGCTTTGCCCATCTGGGGTTTACTTGTCATGTTACGTGCCCCTGTGAAAGCACAGTAGCATCTCGCATGACCCATTGCCTGGACGGTGCTAGTCTATGCAAAGGAAGATTGTTCTACAGGTAAGTTGAGTGACGTAGACTCACCCCCCCCCCCCCCACCCCCCCCCCCCCCACCCCCCCCCACCCCCTCCCCCCTGCAGAAGTGTTGATTGGGTCTACAAACGAATACTTACCTGTAAACCATCCCTCCCTCCTATGCTCACGAGGCACGCATGCCACGGGGCATTATGGGTAGGACACCAGAGGGCGCTATTGTATAAAACTCTGCCGGTCTAGGGAATATGCATAAGTAGATTGCTCTAAAGGTAAGTATTGGTTCGTAGACCCCATCCACACTTCTGTGTGGGGGGGGGGGGGGGATCCCCCTACAAAAAAACCTACAAGAAAGTATGGGCCCTAGGCCTTTCCCCTAAGAAATTGTTGGCTACCAGTGTTGAAACAACATAGATACTTTGTCGAGGTTCATTAAGTCATTTTTTTTCCTGGAGTATATTGAGCAGAGCATAGTACATGCACATGTATACATAGTTGTATATGTAAGGGCGCACCTAGTGGTGCGTTCCCTGGGGTAGTTTGAGCGTGTGCTATCAAACTGGGGTAGGGTGTGTGCCCTGGTGAATAATTGGCAGTCAACTCCAAATAAAGTGATCCAGTGACTCAAATATTGCAGCTCACAATTTATTTATTTGAAATTTATTATGTGTGGAAATCCCTTGACATTAAAATGGTCTCTGATAATAAGTTACAAATAGGAATGACAAATTATCACTCAAAATATTCCCTAAAAACAAATTGAATCCTGGCAGTCACAATACAAACTACTTGAATAATCCTAATGTCCAATCCTGAGATGATCTAAATCCTGGCATGTATCTCTGTAGAAACCCTCAGTTTCAATGTAGAAATCCTGGTATACACTCCCTGTAAAACTCCCCCTACAAATCCAAGAAGATATTTCTCCAAAAATCCAGATCCAAATCTTCAGTATAAATCAATCAATCCATCCCCCAGACCGGACCCAATACCATGCGCTGCTCTCTCTCGACTCCCTCGATGCTAGCGGACACGGCGGTCCTTAGCAACGGTACGGTATAACCTATGTACATGCAAATCAACGTATCGCGTGAACAATACATGTACATACAGAGAAGTTTCACGGTGTGTGAGTCAAAACAAATCATGAACTCATCACAATAAGCGAGCAAAAACTCTTTAATGAAAGTTTTCAAACTCTCATACCTGCACCAAACTGATCCTGAATCAAATGCGGACAAGTCACCTTCATGCATGATGAACTTGAAATGAGGAAAACACCTCGACTTCAAACGGAATCTTTGAACTAGAACTTTCTCAACTTTCGCCCCAAAAAACGTGGAGAGAGAGAGAGCTAACACGCATGTGCGGTTGGCCACATCAAAATACTTCAATGTTATCATACACGATTAACTCCCAAAAGTGTCTATAATACATAACAACATTGCAGTCATGCATTAACATTATCACTAATATAATCATAAATCACATACCCCTACATATATTACAAACATGGTATATTTATTGCAGGGAACTTTATTTTTAGAGGCAGACAAATCATTTTAATAAATTTGAATAGATATTAAGAAAAAGAATGATATGAATATATTGTTTTTGATAACAGAGAACAAGATTAGCATCGTTAGCAATGTTCAAGTCCAATCAAGTTCGTGTTTTGGTCGCCACCGATGTCGCGAGTAGGGGGCTAGATATACCAACAGTGGAGTTAGTTATTAATCACAATGTTCCTACATCACCCAAGGACTATGTACACCGAGTTGGTCGCACAGCAAGAGCAGGTGAGGCTAAGGATGTCTATTTCTGTTCAGATTTTAAACACTTCATAATCAAAATGTGCAGTGTTGTAAACACATTACATGTACATGTATTTGCCAACTTGCTAATTGAGAGGGTGCATCAGTTGATCTCAGAGAATACTCATTTAATTATCAGGATTGCTATTAAAATTGCTTGGAATGCATGGCAGATGAGAACTGTTGCAACCCAAGGACTGTAGAACAACCTGAAATTGATGGAAATGTGTACAACCTAAAAAGCTGAAATTAAGATAACTATATTAATTGGATTAGATGATGTAAATCGATGCGTGAAAAGTTCGCTGAACTGAGGACCTTTTGAGAAGAGGAATTTAACAGCCAAAAACAGACAATGTAAACAAATAATTGAGTTCCATTTTTTTCAATAGTGATATAGTAATTTAAAATACAATCATAAGACAAAAGGTACACTAAGAAAAGAATTTTTGATGTTGTTGTTGCTTACATGCATTTCGAGTTCCAGTCGCTATTCCACTTTGACCCCCCCCCCCAGTCTTAGGTATGATTACCGGTTGTCCAGTCTCTGAATACACTCGCAACCTCTTTACTTGTTCCCAAGTTTTTTTAACTGAGCAAAAAAGTTAACAACAAAAGGAATAATCTTCAAAGTTAAGTTTGCTCCTTGGAAAGGAAAAAAATTCAGAGAATTAAAAATAAATAGTGTTAAAAACGTGTCCCTCTTGTTTTCCAGTGAAAAAAAGAAAAGAAAAAGAACAAATCTGCCAAGTTTGCTCCTTAGGAAGGAAAAAAACTTTCAGATAAATGAAATGTTGCAACCTCTAAACTTGTTCCCCAGCTTTTTTTTTTTTTCAACCTTTTAACTTGTTTAACTTTTTTACAACGAAAAAAAGAAAAGAAAACGAAAGGGAACAAATCTTCTAAGTTTGCTCCTCAGGAAAAAAAATGTCCGAGATAGGAACATTAAAATGTTGCAACCTCTTTAACTTATTCCCAAGTTTTTTTTTGGGGGGGGGGGGGGTTTGAAATCTTCAAACTTTTCTCCTTAGGGAAAAAAAACAATAACAATGTTGAGCCTATATGTCGCAGTTTTGGATATATAATTTAAAATAAGTACAAAAATTCAGTTAGGCTGTTGGCGCCCTGGTTCTCCCCGTGTTCCTGTTTAAACTTCAGTTGGTCCTTCCAATCCATCCTCGTCTTCACCATCAGGCAGTGTCACATTGGAGCAGATACCTTTGCAGCATGCACATTCTGAGAACACTCCAAACCTTGTTTTCGGCAGCCACAGCGCTGTGTGTTGCATCCCGTCTTGCAGCTACTTCGTATTAGGCCCAAAAAAATCTCGGTTTCTGGTATGCATGCGTGTCCGTGCGCGTCGGCAAACTTAAAAGGAAAAAAATCAATGTAATATGATGTCTCAAAACAGCCAAACTCGCTGGTTTGACTGGAATCCTGCTGCTGCACAATTTTAATGTGTTTTTAGATGGGGTTCAGTCAAGAATAAGCTGTATGTGGCCTCTGGGCTCCCATATATTTTACACTAACTTTCATAGTCGGGCACCATTTGCAGATGATGTTGTAATTTTGTAATTGTGTCTGGAAGCCAGACTGAGGGAAGGATGGTCGTGTATCTGGAACCTGTAAATGCTTTTTAATTAGCACAATATATAAGGGAGCAGACTAATAACCAGCCTGGCAGCTCATGCACGATGTCGATGTCCCTGTATGGTCTAACGTTACTACCGTTTTCTCTTGTTTTTGTCTTGATTATCCAAATTTCTGGTAAAATGTTCATGTCAGTCGTGATAGTAAGTGGGTGCAGAATTCTCAAGCTTTATGGCCTGACTGAGGTTATCTCAAACTCTACTCTGAAGGATATTTTTGAGAGTTTTAAGGAGATCAAAGCATAATCTGCAAGCGTCATCAGCCGAGTTTTGAAGAAAAAAAGTAGGGGGAAAAAACCCCCTCCATACGCGACAGTCACTTAATCCCCTCTCATCAGCCCTATTTTTATTGCAGCTTCCTATACAAATCAGTTTGCAGTTCTTGCGGCAAAATTTAACATGGACACTTTGGCCTGCTCTTACACAAAGTGATTCTTCCAGTGCTTTCGCTAGCCCTGCTTATCCCTGGCATACCTTTTCTGTTATAAACATGCAAGCATTTTGTGTATTCGTCTATGGGCTCATTAAAAAAAAAAAAAAAAGTCTACTTCACTCTACTTACCTGTAGAGCAACACTACTTATGCATATTCCCCCTACCGGCAGGTATTTTCGCTAAGAGTTATATACAATAGCGCCCTCTGGCGCCCTACCCATAACACCCCGCGGCATGCGTGCCTCGTGAGCGTCCTCTTTTCTCTTAGCGGCAGGTCGGGTAGGACGTGCGTGAAATAGCTCGCTGTTTGCCTCGTCATTTACTACCCTTTTTTGCGTTTAAGAGAAGTATTTAATAAAAGAGTTAGTAATCATTAGTTTGTAGAGTTTCATCATTTTCTTGGTTTCATTTATTTCATAAATATGAAGCGTTTGGGGAGGGCCGATCTGTCACTAACCGGAGGGAATAGTTCTCCCACGGGACGGACCGAGTTCTCGGGGGACTCTGCCGTTAACGCTCCGTCGTTACCGCGGCAGCAGTCTCTCGTCCGGCACCCTCAGCCACAGTCGGCTGGGGGAGTTGGCAGTTCCGCCGATCAGTTAAGGGGACCTCGGTCACCTTCTCCGGTCAACTCGGGCGGAACACCCAAACTAAAGGCACACTCCGGCAAGGTTCCCCTAAAACATATCTCCTGTGCCGGAGCAAAGCCTAAGAAGGGCCGTCAGGGCAAGCGTGGCTCGGCAACGAGCGCCGCTTTGGCACCTAGCCCTCCCCCGATCACGGGGCAGCCCGAGGGGACTAGCCGTCACACTTCGGTGGGCTCTAGTCACCCGTGCCCTCCCGACACGGTGCCGAACACCACTGGTTGTCGGGATGGGCTATTGCACGGGCTACCGGTCCGTCCAGCGCTCGCTCAGCCCACGGGGCCTGAGGCGCTGTCGGCCGGGTGCATTATGAGCGATACGGAGCCGGTCGCCCCGGGGGATCCCGGGCCGACGGCCCCCGTGCTAGCTCGCTCAGAGGGACTACTCTCGTCATCGGATTTTTTCCGTTGTTCGGGGGTCCCGGTGCCCCAGGTGTTTTCCGATTTCTCCTCGGACACACCTCGGGGCCGTTCTTCTAAAAAGAAGAATAAGAAGAAGAAGGCTGCACGTCGATCGCACCGTTCTTCTTCGGGTTCTGACAACTCCTCTGACCGGTCCCGCCGGGGCAAACGCTCCCGGGGGAGGACGCGGTTTCTAGAGCAGATTTCCTGCAGGCTTTTCAGTCGATTCCGATACGCTATCGGCTATGTCGGCAGGCCGCCGGGCGGGCCCTATTGGGGGGCCCCCTGCAGCGGTGGACTACGGCCCACAACCATCGGTCGTTGGGCCCGCATTGCAGTCTTCAGTCACCGGTCACGCTTGGGTGACCCGTGAACAAAGGGACTTACCGCACAGTTAGCCGTGCTCCTGGAGTCTTTATCTGCAGTGAATGCTTCATAGTCGTCATTCATTGGTCACGATTGCGTCGCCCAAGCGCAACGAGGTACATGTACAAAAATGAAAAAAACGCATGTTCATACATGTACATGTATACCACACATGGTTGCGCGCCATACCGGAAGCCCGGCCTACGGCGAACAGGACTTCACATTCGCCGGCCGTGGACCGCGGTCGCGTGGTCCGGAGACAACGGGACCTACCGCACACAGTTAGCCGTGCGCCAGGATTCCCGCTTGTGTTTAGTCTTCTCCATCTGCATAATATTATGTATATTATCTCCGAGGGTGTTGCCCAGCCACCACCGCGTGGTTCTGTACAACTAGCCCCTCCAGACGGCTCTCAGTCATCGGGGTCATTTTGGCCTTCGCATTCGGCTGATTCATCCGATAATGACGGAGAATCAGACCGGTTACAATGGCTGTCCATCGCGGAAACGAAATTCCGTTTGCTGCAGAGGGACATTACACGGGTACATGTACTTATTTAATTACCCTCCGCCGATGAGCCCCCCTCCGCCCGATCACAAAAATTTTCAAATCAAGCGCAGGACGGGCTCCATATCTAACAAGGACAAGGTGTTCCCCATACCTCCGTTGGATCAAATGTGAAACACATCGACAGCGGACAAAGTGGTGTCCATTTCTCAGGCGGGAACGTCTTTATTATTTTTTCTAATCCGGGCGAGTTTATTGCACCGATCCCACCGCGGCATACGCTACCGGGGTGAGGACTCGGTTTTTCGGCCCACTCATTACAAGCCTTGCAATTGTTCTCGGCTTTATTATCGGTCATACATGTACAATGTACACTGTATACGTTTTATACACGTACATGTACAATGTATTGCCAGGCGGGCACGTTAATGAAACGTCCGTCTTCGTTCAGTTGCGAGCCGTGATCTCTGTAACCCTCTACATTAATCACGGTTGGGTGACTCAAGGACAATGGGACACGCCGCGCTGTGCTTAGCCGTGCGGCGGTGTTTCTTGCTGTACTGAGATCGCTAATTTTTCATGTACATTGTACATGTGTGCATTACTTGTGTATGTACACTGTCCATTGTCTCCGAGGGAGTTGTTCAACAGCTGACTGTGGCCGTGTGCAACTCGTCCCTTCAGATGTGTTTTACGGTTCTCGTTTACGGGGTCTATTCGACTCTTGCAGGCATGTTGTGGACCACATTCGAAAGATTGTGCCTTTATTCAAACTGCCTGCTGCTCTTCAAGCAATTATGTGATCATTACCGTTTTCCGTTAGCGAAATTCGGTATTTTTGTTGTTGTTGTCACATCTTCCCTCTTCAATGCAGCTAAGTAAAAAACAAGCTGCCAGCAGTAGAGGGACCCCATTATTCAAACAGCTCTTCGTAAATAATACTCGCAGAAGCTTGCATACACTTTGCAGTAGAATAATAAAGTG